ATCATCAGCTAGGTGTAGTAGCTGCTGATACCGATTTCTCGCCGGGTGTCGAGCTGCACAGTTTCCTCCAGTCTGTCTTGTCTGCTGCTTGCTGTCGGCACCTGGAAAGGTCTTCCATGGTCTTCATTGGCACACCCAGCTTATTCAGCTGAGCAACCAGACTTGTGGCCAGTGTCAACCTTGGCCGTCCACGAGGTGCTTTGTTGCCCTTGTCAAAATAGCCGCTCATGGCTACTTGCGGTGGCGTGTCCGTGTCCATCCGTAGCACATGACCGGTCATTCGTAGTCGCCTACATGCAACTGTGTCTGATATAGGGTTGCTCTTGGTTCTGCGGTATAGGTCGTCGTTTGAAATTGTGTCTGGGTATCGTATTCCAAGGAGTGATCGCATTTGACGCCGGTGGAATGCGTCTGCCTTGGCCATTGCTGTTGACGATAATCCCCAGGTCTCGCAATTGTACAGGAATGTCGGCAGTACGATAGCGTTGTACAGGCGTAAGCGTGTCTTCTCCGCTACTTTATCTCTACGCAGCCATAGGGCGTACAGCTGGCCAAACACGCGAGAGGCAAGTTCCATCCTGCGCCGAACATCCTCTTCCTCCCCCATCAAGGAGCCAAGCTGCCTAGATGTCCGCCAGCTCTCGGAATCAGGTGACACACGGATCCACTCTGTTTTATCTGGATTTACTTTTAATGACCAATCGTGCAGTGTGTCTGCTATTACAGGCAGAGCATTCTCAAGCCACAGCCTGCAGGTTGAATAATAGGAGATGTCATCTGCATAACCCGTCTCTGGTGGTAGACTTGCGTCGCCAGCAGGGCGGGGCGCGAGACGAGTTCTGCATTCCTGTAGTGCAGCCTCCAGATAGCAGATGAAGAGAACTGGGCTGAGACTGTCGCCTTGTGGTGTTCCAATAGTGCTCTCAAACGGTTCAGCTGTGGCACTTGCAACCTTAACAGTGATAGTTGTGTTGTGGAGTAGGTGGTGGATGAGACATGTGCAATCTGGATTGGTGATTGCAGACATCACCTCCAGCAGCTTCAGGCGGTTAATCGTATCGAAGGCCTTGGACATGTCCAGGCCTAGAATGTGAAATTGCTGTCGGTAACGAATGGCTCTTGCAGCGATCCACCTTCTCTTTTAAACTCATCAAAATATTTATGATAGAGGTTATGGTGGGGGGAAGACAGCTTTACAGAGTGCCTGCCTGAAATAGAAACATTGAAGATAGCATGTGTCCACGAGGATGGAAGACTAGTTTGTTCGGACGACGCTCACTTTTAGTATAAACAGTACAGTCAGACCCCGCATAACCGCACACATCCGTTTTCCACAAAAATATCCGGATAGACGAGGGAACCGGATAACCGAACGCACATACTGTATGTATGCATGACATATGCTGTAAATCGGTAACCAATGATTTTCTTCCGGATGGCGAGGGATCCGGATAAAAGAGGACCGGATAAGCGAGGTCTGACTGTAATGTGGAACATTGCGAGGTATTGTAATTAGGGTGTGAATGTATGTATGTAAAGAGGGTGGTGACCAGTGAAAAAAACAACTGGTGTCTAAAGTGAAGGGATTGAATATGGCATAGCTTATTTAGATTTTCTTTAGTTTCGAATTTATCAAAAGCTGTGTTACTGGAGTTTAAAAATGGATCTACACACTCTAGCTTGAAGAACATCCAGGCTAGCTAGGTGCTGAACACTTAATCTATACGCCCACACTGGAAAGGCGTATTCAGCTGCAGGGCGAACGTACCCCTTACACAGGAGGGTGATATTATAGTGATTTAGACGACGGCCCATATAGCCGAGTAGGTTAACTCTTTGCTGGAACGTCCTGAAAACGGTTGCAAAATGACTATATATATGAAACTTGAGATGCGGACTTAGCTCTACACCAAGGTATACTACTTAGCTCTACACCAAGGTATACTACGCAAGTAAGGTGACGAATCGGAATATTGTCCATACGGATTGGTGATTATGTAGGGAGTGGGTAGTTGCAGAGGGAGGAAGTCTTCTCCGGTGAGAACTCACCATGGATTCTCCTAGCCCATTGCTGGCAACTGTTGAGCTCCTGCTGGACGTTAGACCGATTCTCATCGAGGGATAATGCGCGGTGGTGAGCATACCGGAGAGTCACATTGTCTGCGCACAGAAAGGGGCAACAGCCTACTATGGTGGAGACTATCAGGGAGGCTGTTAATATACAGTAGGAAGAGTGGAAGGGCAAGGTGCGATCCGGGCGGAAATTCGCTTGTGACGGAACGAGTCGCGGAGACGGTCTGGTGGACCGTATCGAATGCTTTCCGGAAATCTAGGAAGATTCTGTCAAACGTTCCACCGGTCTCTGAGATATCAGCCATTCGGTGACTCAGGAGTACGAGCTGGTCAGTTGTCGACCTTTGATGAACATATGCTAATTGACTCGCCACGACCAATTGGTGTTGATTGATGTAAGTGTTGAGGCTAGACGCCATGTTGATAACCTTGAGAACAAGGTGACAGCCCTGGACCCCCATTAACCGAGACACCGCCCCGCATAGCAGTAGTCATGCTATGACGAGAAACGTGAAGGCTCTCCATGAGTATGTCAATAAGCAGGCCACTGACATCGTCCCCCGTCATGGACTTCGACAAGCACTTTCAGGCATGACAGTTGCCGGCTGATGTGGAGGTCCTCGCCCACACAGCATATGACCAGTGCGAATGCTTCTCCGAGTTTGGTCGAGCCATCAAACACAATTGAGACGGGCGCCTCCTGGAGCTCCTTGGTGAGGTGCTTGGTAAACATCTGGTGGATAATTGGGTCTATTAAATTGACGGTAGCCTCACGGTTCGCGCGCATGTGGAGGATGGCACGCATGAACAGGACCGGATTAGGTAGGTAACAAGAGTAGGCACCGTGTAGGGAACCTGTATTGTCACGCGGTATAATCCATTCCGGGATGACGGGGAAAACTGATCTCATAGTACCTCCGACGGTGTAGTCGAAAGACGAGATCGCCTCGAACATATGAACGAGCGGTCCGGGTATGTCCGCACTTTCATTAGGCAGCAGTGCATCAAGTATGTGCATAAAGCACAGTAAACTGGGCGTTAGCAAACGGTGTGTCGCCATACACTTGAGTGTCTGTTTGTAAAAGACGATAGCAGTGTATATATGTAGATCATAGCTAGTGATGGTCTGAGCGAAGTGCACTGTACTGCTGTACTGCTGTACTGCGTGAATGTGTTGATAAGCTATTGATGATTGTTGAGTTCATCAAAGCAATGTGTCTAAAGGACGGAACAAAAGTAGAAGGGGCCTGAATTGGGCATACCTGCGGTAGTAACTCCATATATAGTGTAAGCGGAGGAATACGATGTGCAGGGACTGAAAGTCTTGCCTGGTCGGCTTTCTCATTTCACCAGTCGACGATTTCTGGGCGATAAGGACTTTCTAATAGCACTTATCAGCAGGGCTCTGAAATTTCCACTGACCTTGGAGATGGGAATACCGGCCTCAAGCAAGCAGTGTAACTCTCAACCGATAACGCCTTGTAGCTTCAGGCAGGTTCTCATCAATTGGATGATAGTGCCCAACATAACTGCGAAGGTGTTCTGTTATAGTATGCCTCGTCTTCATCCAGCGCGGCTGCAGTTGCTTGTCCCTCATTGATCTCCTCGTACACATACTCGTACCTTTCCGAAAGTGTAGGCACCTCTCCACATGCTGTTTCCTTCTTCTTCTTAGCATTGAGATGCTTCACAGATTTCACATGTGAGCTAGTAGAGTTTTTCTTTGTAGGAAGCTCCTCACGGCAGCACGAGCAATGCAGCTTGCCAAGGTCCACAGTCAAAAATTCATCGGGAAATTGCTTGAGTCTCATCTGGTTTGACTGCTACATTGCTGGCACTCTTTGCATCCGATCGTCCAGGACAAGATCTTTTGGCGGTGTTTCCAGTAGTCAAATGCGAAGGAACAGATCGCTTCCGAGAGTTGTCGGCAGTCTTAGGAAATCGAAAACTGAAATTGTGCTACAAAGTCCTTGATACTGACACCACTTGCAGTTTCGCTTTCCTCGCCAGGGTCACCATCCACTTCCACCTAAGTAGACGGCTCATTCGAAGCCATTTTTGCCAAACAGCACGAGCAAAAAGGAAGCAAAATATCGGAAACGAAAGCCAATGCCAAGCAAAATATAGAAAGTTCTCGGGCAAAATGTTGCTGCAAAATATCATACCGCCCCAGCAAATTTGGGCTAGGCCTAATGCCGGGGCTTTGGTCACATAACCATATTGATTATACTGGGGCTTTGGTCATGTGACCATATTAATTACTCTGTCATTTGAAATGGGAAATAGTGAATGTGAGCAAGGTTCTGACTCGGGGGGGGGGGGGGGGGGGGGAGGGGGAGGGGTTAAGAGCGGTTCACTTGATAGACCACACGCCATTGTTTACCATTTGATTGGAACTTGAAATCCAAAAGTACCTGCTGTAGAGTGCTACCTCCAAACAGGCTGCGTACCCAGTCGTAGTTGAACAATGGCATGCAATGTACTCGTACAGCACGGTTTGGACTTTCACTGGGTGTAGCAAAAAACGTACGGCAACGCGGGTGTACGTTGATTTGCTCCGCTTGTATACAACAGGTGAGTAGATCAGCCCACCAGCAAAGTGGTCAAAGACCGAAAATCCCATTCACTGCATCCATGTCCACGTTGCTGGTGGGCTGATCTACTCACTTCCCACCGCTTTAGGAGCTTTAGGAGCTGCATTTGTGCCTTAGATCTTTGGAGGGTGGTGATGTTCCTACGGATGCTGAAACCTCAGTCTACCTGAGTCTCAAGCTGCATGATGCAGCAGCAGCACGTCGTTATATTTTTAGGTTTAGTACAAACGTGGGTATGCAGTGGGCGCATAGCTGTGTTCTAGCATTGGCTTATAGTCAATTCACTTTATTGTTCCTTTCTGAGTGTTGGCAGCTTTCCTGTACGCTGTATGTCACATTGTGTTGTTGATACTGATGTCATTGTACCATGACAGTGTGTGTGTGTTGAGTGCTGACCATGTCTCTGTTCAAACTTGTGCATGTTCCTCTGTGTGCTTGTGTGCGTGTGTGTTGCTGTATGTGTGTGTGTGTGTGTGTGTGTGTATGTGGTGCTGTGTGTGTCGGTATGTGTGTGTGTGTGTGTGTGTGTGTGTTGCTGTGTTGCTGTGTGTTTCGGTGTGTGTTTCGGTGTGTGTTTCGGTGTGTGTTTCGGTGTGTGTGTGTGTCGGGATGTTTGTGTGGCGGGATGTTTGTGTTGTGTGTGTGTGTGTGTGTGTGTGTGTGTGTGTGTGTGTGTGTGTGTGTGTGTGTGTGTGTGTGTGTGTGTGTGTGTGTGTGTGTGTTCCTAGATTCATGGGCAGAGGGTTGATCAAGTATCCTGTCAGCACAGTGTGGCAAGCTGTGAGAAATACACAAACCAGACTAGCGTGCGACTACTTAGTTACGGTAAGCCTCCACCACTTACCTCCCCGGGAGAGGGGGGATGCACTGGCTTTCAAAGATACAGCTTGTTGACTGATAAGGCAACGTTTCCCTCTCCATCGTACTCGCACCTGGATTCTGGTATCCCCACACAACAGGTGCTGGCCTGTCATGACCTACCATACCTTCGGCAATGCGTGTACTGGCCGACGTGCTTATTAGTTTGCGAGCCTTAAAATGTCACCCAATTCGGGGCAAATCCACACAAAAGCCCTGAAATGATGTGGCGATTATTTCGGACTGGCATCAATAAACACCGGCGCTATATTCCGAAAATACTGTAGCCTAGATACCTACACGGCCTCGCACATCTCATACCCCCATGTTCTACTCACTCTAAGTTATATGGGGCTAGATGCACTGTGCGAGCCTTTGCCTGGGGTTGGGGTAAAGCCAATACTTGGTTTTACTGCTTCTCGTACGAGCTGGCATTTTCGCTCGTGGAGTATGGGTTGGTGATCAGTGTGTTTAAGGTGCAGGGGACGATTCTGAGCATTCACGACTGTTCTTTTGGTGCTTTTGTCCATGCGCCTACGACTGTGAACATGAGTGTGTGTATGTGTGTGTGTGTGTGTATGTGTGTGAGTGTGTGTCTGTCTCTGTCTGTCTGTCTGTCTGTCCGTCTGTCTGTCTGTGTGTGTGTATGTACGGCTGTACATACATGTACATTTGTGCTTGCTGCCGATGGTGTATACACACTAAACAGGAGATGAAAACAGTGGCCTGTATTGATGAGCATACAAATATTGGTGAGTGTGCTACCCAGGCTTTGTTCAACCCTGGCACTGCTGTGTTCGAAGAGCCAAATTACTATTGTGTTACTTGAAGTACTCAGTCATCATGTGACAGCATATTCACATGCTGTTTAGGCACAGACAACGTAAGCACACACACACACACACACACACACACACACATACGCCCATGCATCTACAGTAAAACCAGGTTTAACCCATTGAACGCTGATGACGTCTATAGACGTCATCATGGAGAATGCCCCCCCATGAGCGGATGACGTCTATAGACGGCATGGGATAGCATTATATTTATAGTGATTTCTGGCACTGTCTGGTGTGTAAAAGCACTGTTAGTTTTTTTCAGCGTTTTGACTCTTTTGTTATGCATATGTACATGTACCGTAAAGTACCGTTGATCCGCCCCCTCTCTAATTCCCGCCCCCTGTCGATTTTCTCCTTGTGAAGCGACTTGGGCGTATACAACGAAATACGATGTTGAACCGACGCATGCACTGCTGTACACAATACTTGCCAATCCAGTATCAAAATGTTCACAATCCAGCACATTGAGTCTGATCCTCTACGTTGTTGTACATCGTACTGCACTTGACAGCCTTGATCTAATTCCCGCCCCCTGCCGAAAACCCAGCTGGGAAGCGACATGGCGTGGGGGCGGATCAACGGTACTTTACGGTAATCGTGAAACCTGAAAACGCAATATGAACTCAACAAAATAATAATATGTGGCGCAAAATAAAAAGAAGGAAATAATAACCAGTCAAGCGCTCAAAACGAACATTAGAAAAATCATGAGCCTCAAGGCGCTAAACTGCGCTTAAATTATAGGGAGGGGGGAAACCGGAATCCGAGAAAATTATAACGTTCAAAGTCATAAAAAGAGAGGGGTGGATGGGAAACAGAACAACAGCCAAACGCACCACTGATAGTTACCGAAAGCGCTCTGGAGCAGCAAGGACCACCTGAGCATCAGAATCAATGACTCTCTCGCGGGCATCTTGTGACCGTGGCCTGCGGTGACCTCTGAGGCTGGCATGGGAGGCACGAATAAGAGAAAAGGATACCCTTGACCTTATAAAGGCAAGAAGTGAAGAGAAGAGCTTCTTTCTCTTGTCGGCGAGCATGGAGGCAATACGCTTGAAGAAAGCGGAGGCGGACTTGCCGTAGCTGCCGAAAGCGCTGAACACAATTGGAGAAAATGAAGCGTATTCGACTTTGCAGACGCGCTCTTCATAAGCACGCCTTTTCTCGGCCTCATGCTTCCTGTAGGTAGCCGTTATGGACTGCTGGCGGTTGGAACGGGCATGAGGGTTGAACACCCGGATGTCCAGGAGTGCTCGTTCGAAACGTCCGCCCCAGACACCCGATGCAGCCACATCCAGGCGGGCACCATCCTCTGAGATAGTGGGGCGGTGACGGAAGGTCTCACCGGTTAGCGGCTGGAGATGCAGCTCGATCTGGACGCCGTGGGCCACTTCAGGCAGGAGAGATGCGGTGAGGTCCCTTAGGTCGTTATGCCGCATGGCGGGGTAGCCTTCAGTGAGGCAAGACAGAGCGTGTTCCGGTGAGAATGCTTTGCCACACACACATTGCGTAGGCAGGCCTGGAGGGGTCCAACCGTAACGTAAGCATAGGGCATCCCTGAACGCCTGCTTGTGTAGGTTGAAACCATACTGTCGAAGGGGCCGACAGGTCAACCAGCTGGAGGCGCCCTTTTCGGCAGCGAGATTGAAGGTGCACTCTGTGGTGCTGGTGGCGGTGGCAATGACCGAGGCGCGAGCTCGAGGCAGCAGCTTCCTTTGCCAGACGCCGTGACTGGGACACAATCTCTGCTCGCGATCCTGCCTCTTGTACGATAGGTGATGGGTACTAATCCCACTTGGTAACGCTGTGCGTCTTTTCTTCTTCTCTTTTGAGCGATCTTTCAGCTGCAATTGTGTGCATTTCGCGTATTTCCCGCAATTTAAGCAAACGTGTGTCCCTTATTGTGCTGCGCTATCCTTTTCTTTCTTTCTATTCTTTTTGGGGACTGTATTGATTCTGTCACCCTGTGGGTGATAGTCTTGGCCAGCAATTCCAAAAATCGAGGACCTCAGTTGCCAGAACCCTGGAGTTTTAGAACTTGCTATTGGCCCTGTTATTAGCATTTATATGCAGAGTACCATAGGCAAGGCCCAGTAGCGCTGAATGGGTTAAGCGCCCATCCCACGCTGCAAGCAAAAGCGGTCGTTAGCGCCAGGTGGTCTTTAGAACCAGGTCCCATACATTCCTTGCATATCAGATCGTGTACATACATGTGCATGTTTGTACTTCCATGCACTCAAACTGACATGTATGGAGCATAGAATACTTTCGTGCAGGCAAACCACACCTCACTCAAGTGCATGCAGCGCATCCTGCACTGGCCCTTGTCACTTCTGTTGACTGCATGCACTTGCTTCAGAGCGCACTTCTACCCTGTTGCGGTCAACCCTGCCAGCCAAGATGCCACTTTTGGCTAGTTTTGGTCGCTGTGTGCAGGTCCAATATGCCACTTGGTACTCTACACTAAAAGTCGGTCGCTGGTCGTGCAAGGCAGGTGGTCGCTGTATCCAGTGTAGTTTCTGTGTAGAACTGACCGTGCATGGAAAAACGGTCGTTAAGAGCAGGTGGTCACTAAAACCAGAGGTCGCTTACACCAGGTTTTACTGTACATCCATGCATGGGTACGCTTGTATCTTTATGCCTTTGTTACTTCTCTCTCTCCCTCTCTCCCTCTCCCTCACACACATACACACATACACATGCACGCACGCGCACGCACACACACACACACACACACACACACACATGTACCTTTATCTGCTTTGCTACATGCTATAGTCTCAATCGCTCTGGACAAGGAGAAGTGCATGTCAAAGGTACCGATGGATCTCTGCTGTGTGGTTACTGAAAGAACAGATGTAAGTACATGTACATGTTTGTACATCCTCGTGATCTAATTGTCTGCACCTTTATAGCCATGACCGTTTAAGGCTTTTATTCGAAACACCGCTGCTTTCCTAGCTACTAGTATTTCAGATGCGAAATGAGTTGAATGAATGACCCACCTACAACGCCATGGCATAAGACGTCCAAGTGCACACAAAATTCCTATCTAAATCCGCTTTTTGCCCCTTCTCCTGGGATGGAAACCTTTGTTACTACATGTATAGTACATATTGCTTCATTTGACAAGCTTAGTTCTAAACTGCCATGGCTTCGATATGAGAGTTGCATACTCTTTAGGGGCGTTATGGACCCTTGGAGATGGGCCATTACATTTTGATTTTGCCTGTCTCCTCAGTGTTGGAAGGATACATGGACAAGTGATTCTTGTTCTTATGAAGAACTTCACTGTCCTGTTCTTCTCATGTCTGTTTGTTTAGAATAAATACCATGCTCTTGTGAGCCAATCGGTTGACTTCAAAAAGTGCCCGGTCAGACAGGGTTTCGAGCGCGCGCAGGTGAGTTGAAAATTGAAATGCAGACTTGAGGAGACACTTTGCGGATGAGTTAGCTGCATGAATTTCTTGACATTCCCATTGTGTTAGGTACATCACTCATCATCAGTGGTTAGGTGCATCAGTGGTTAGGTGCATCAGTGGCTTCTGTGTGTGCGCTGTACTGGTAGCACTTTGATGTGATATCCCCGAGCTTTGACAGACCTAGTACATCTGCTGGAGCAGCCAGGGTCCCGCAGTCTTATTGCTTATGCCCGTACTGTGGCGTATTAAAGCCGGGCTTATTCAGAAAGTAGAAACTGATGTCAGTGCTAGGTTTCTACTCGATGCAGGCATTTCTTTGTATGTTTTAGCACTAAACCCGGCTTGTATGCCGACGCTGCATCTTGACAGTCAGGCTTGTATTCGAAACAGGCTTGTATAGGAGACGGGCCTTAGTACGGGATTGGCCTTAGTACAGGACTGGCCTTAGTACAGGACTGGCCTTAGTACAGGACTGGCCTTAGTACAGGACTGGCCTTAGTACAGGACTGGCCTTAGTACAGGACTGGCCTTAGTACAGGACTGGCCTTAGTACAGGACTGGCCTTAGTACAGGACTGGCCTTAGTACAGGACTGGCCTTAGTACTTGTACAGTCATGTACTAGTATTTACTTAGCGCATTTATCACATGACCTAGTGATCACATTTGAATGACTACAATACCCGGCAAAGCCAGGTGTTGCCGAGAGGCCTAGATCACGGCAGCAAAGCGAGTGCCCAGGAGAACATTCTCACTGGCCAGCTCAAGGACAGTACCGTGATTAGAGCTTGAAAGTGATGATGTCAAACATGGCCGAGTAATACATGAGTCACAGAGCACCACACGTCTGGATTGTTGTAACTAATAGTTTCATGCCAGATGGCAATCTTTAGACAACTGATAACAGTGATGCACAGCTAGTATGGTATTTATACAGTGGCATAGGAAGGAATCTGTGAAGGTTTGAGGTCTGGTGGGTGCGAAAAGTCCTGGAGGGAAAATGTGCCAAACTCCCATAGTCCATGAGTGAGAAAAGAAAATTAATATGACAGGAAGGCAAGCAAGGCTGTGTGAAAGAATGATAATGTGGCTTGCCTGTAATGCAGGTGCAAGATGCCGCACACTTTGGTAAGCGCTTGAAATAAGTTGGAGGGGAGATACTTGCCCTTCAATGTACCAACAAACAGGTGCAAGGTGGAAATTTCCATGCGCTGTGATGGCTATAGGTGCTTAGAATAGGTGAGGAAAATGAATATATGGCCGATAGTGGTGAAACGAATGTCAAAACCTACTAGTCGAATATTCTTCAGCTTAACGGACGAATGAACGAATATTCTTTTGGTAACACAGATTACATCACATGCCCTCCTCTCAGTCATTTGATGGATATTGTCAATACTAATATATTATTAGGTATGACAAACGGTAGTGCCACGTAAAATATACTGCCACATAAGGCTACTTCGAAGTTCATAAATGTTATGCGCAACATTGGCAGTCCAGTATGGACATACATGTGCATGCATGCAGTACAAAGTCACAGGCAGGCTGTACGCACTGCACTGTACCGTGTTCGGCGTCCATGTATGTACATGCACTGCATTCGAAGTGACGTAACGAATACTCGAATGTGACTTAACGAATATTCGAATGTGACAAACCGAACGAATGTTCGAATATTCGAATATTCGTTTCACCACTAAATTGGCCGAGTAATAGAAATTTTGTGTACGATATGTCTTTGGGTCCACAGTCTTGGGTAGCTTCTGTATGGTGGGTATAGCCATCCCTTCATGTCACCTATCATCATTTCTAGGAACTGGCCCCTGGCCTGTGAGAAGGCATCCTTGCCTGTAAATCTGATGAAGTAAAAATAAAACAACAACAACAACCTACTGGTGTTAGTTTTCCTTTACTGTGTGTGTGTGCCTGTTGTGGTTGGGTGTGCATGGGTGTGCTTGTGCCTGTTGTGGGGTGTGAGCATGTGTGCTTGTATGTGTGCTTGTGCCTGTTGTGGGTGTGTGGGCGTGCATGTGTATACACTGTACAATCATGTGTTGTGTGCTTGTGGGGATGTGTACAGTATGTATGTGTGTGCATATGACACAATGTGTGGGTATGACACATTGTGTGCCTATGACACATTGTGTGCATGTGTGTACATGCATGACTGTGTGTGACTGTGTGACTGTGTGCATGGTGTGGGGTGCATGTGTGACTGTGTGCATGCATGTGTGACTGTGTGCATGCATGTGTGACCGTGTGCATGTGTGCCCATGTGCATGTGTGACTGTGTGCATGCATGTGTGACCGTGTGTATGTGTGCCCATGTGCATGTGTGACTACTTGCCTGTGCGTGCATGTACACTGATGTAGCTGAGTTCAAGTGGCTGGTGTCTCCAAGCCCATGTTGATGTGTCAAGTGGAGTTCCAATCCAAGCTACCATGGTGACATACATCTGTCAGGTAGGTACTAGGTACTTAGTACTACAGTCAGACCTGGCCTAACCACACACATAGGGGACATAGGGGACCGGTTTTGTTGGATGCATCATGTATGCTGTACATCTGTAACCAGCTATTTTCTTCCGGATGGCGAGGGATCCCGATAAAAGAGGACCGGAAAAGCAAGGTCTGACTGTACTACAGGTCGTCCCTCGTTAATACATAATCTCTGGGACTTGACAAATGTTATGTATTAACGGGGTTTATGTACTAAACGAAAGTGTACATAACTTTGCTTGTGTACCAGTATTTTTCACTTTTTTCAACTCTTCTGAGTGTTTCTTGCTGCCATGACTAGGGAGCGAGATATTCTTGATTCCCTCGATATAACATAAAAATTATGTTATAACGGTCACAGTCAGCCAAGATTCTACAGTTTACATGATACATGCCCAGCTGCGCCTGTACAGTCACTCGGGAAAAAACAGAGCTTTGTCGGTTTGTGATGTGCGCTCTGATTTCTGAGCTAATCGAATCCACAAGTAGAAACCAGAACACGATGTGCCTCCACTGGAAGGCCAAAAGACCAACAAAATTATGTACTATTGAGGTAGGTGGCATGCGGGTGCGGAGAAATGTTATGTACTAACGGGGTTTATGTACTAACGAATTATGTACTAACCGACATAATTTGTATGGAAGTGATCACGTTTCGTCCGGGACTTGAGATTTCTTATGTACTAACGGGGTTTATGTACTAACCGGACTCGTATTAACGGGGGACGACCTGTACTAAGTCTTGTATTGTACCGTACTACGGTACTGTACCCCTCTTTGCCCCAGCTACCCTGTGAATCAATATAATGCACTGATCTGGCCTCTAAGTTTTCAAAATTTTCGGCTCAGCCACCCCTCCGCCATGAGTAAATTGTAATTCAGATGGCTGACCATACCACACAAAATACGTTCCGACACCCCTGTGTAACCTGCATGGTATGTTCGCAGGTCTGCAACTGCGCAGCACCGGCGCTGGTTGGCTCAGGCAATCGGATTTCATTGAACAGCACTGTAGATACTTCAAAAATATGTAGTATATGCCTGTTCTTGTGCACATGTCGACATATGAAGTCTGCCTAAGCATAGTGTATTATACACTTTCAATACTGCACCATCCCAGGCTCGCAACGCACCCCACCGTGCACAATATGATGCTAGAGTGTGGCTACGAAATGTTGTAGAAACATCATGATAGTGCGTGGTAAAGTGCTGTAGTAAAGTGCTGTGGTAAAGTGCTGTGGTAAAATGTCACTGGAATAGACTTAAACCTGCTACTAAACATATGAAACGAGAGATAGCACGCCAATGTAGGAGCCAATATGCACAGCACCGTAGCATAACCACCGCCACCAATCCTCACAGCAACAACTACACCAACACACTACAACATGGTAGCATAAATCATTGTCTCCAAGAGAGAAAGAGAAATCGAGAAAGAATGAAAGAAATGCCAACAACAACAGCAACAGCAACAACAACAATAAAAAATTAATATTGCGACCGAGCTTTCGGCCATATTCCACTTTTACTACATCCTCAACCCGTCGTCGCCATGCGCTCTCAGCCGAACCAATGCACGAAGCATAAATACACCAGCACAGTAAGGACACTTCCGTTGAGAGGTACTTTCTTTTCGCCTCTAGAAAGCTGTTTCGCTCCTTTGAGCTCAACATATGGCCATTGTCTTCTGCCAAGAATCTGTGCATTACGAAATGGTGGTAAACGGTCTGTGAAGGTGCCTTGTTTCCTCCTTGTGATTCTTGTCAATAAGTTTTTATCTGACATCATGTTGTTGCCGCCGTCATCATTTGTTCTTTCTCCAGCTCAACCTGAAGTCCCAAGTCTCCAGTGACCTGCTAGCATACCTATGCCGCCGCCAAACCCTGGCCGTTTCCAAGCTTGGCCAGCACTGTGCCTCACTTTCCTAGCCGCAGCGTTCGTTGTCTTCACTCAAAGGCCGTGAGTTTTCTGCTTCTGTTTGCATCTACTGAAGTAGCTCGTTGTTCATCTACTGAAGTAGCTCGTTGAGCCTTCCCAACACGCTGTAGCATAGTGTATGATGCATGTTACTATCACTTTTTTAAAGTTATTTTTACATAATAGTTTGTAGGGCCTTTGCATCTGGGAATTTTCTAGTCCTCTCTATCATTCACACGCTGGCGTTTCTCCTTGAGATTCTGTACATATGTTCTCTCAGTGTCCAAGGAAGAATGCTCTGTCTTCTTCTTTTTTTTAATGAAAACATTTCTGTCATAGGTTTTGCACTCTCCCATCCTTTGTTTTCAATTTTTTTATTGTGCGTGTTCATGCTTGCGTGTGCCCGTGGTGAGTGTATGTGTGTGTGTGTATGGACATGTGCAGAACCGAGGTGCACTGTTGCAAGTCTAGTTTTCTTGTTTTGGACCTACCCCTAGCCGTAGTAGCATTGACTTTTATTATTTTATTATGTGTCCGGTGAGTGTCAGCGTCACCCATGTATTGCCTGATTGTCTTGCACTCTCAAGCGGCCTGGTGTAGCCACCTATTTTTTATTAGAACGTGTGTGTGTGTGTGTGTGTTGTGTGTGTGTGTGTACACGCACACATGCATGCATGCGCAATTCTGGGTATGTGTGTGTGCACATGTGTATCTATGTGCGTGTGTGCATGTGTGTTCAGGTGTGTGTCCATGTTTCTGTATGTATGTTCGTGTGTGTGGCTCCGTCAATGTTCTCTAGCTGTATCATACAATAACTTTCTAATAACTTTTGACAGTAAATAATAATTTCTTGCTGCTCTGAGCTCCTCTAGAGTTGGAAGTCTCTACCTTTTTTGTTTGTTTTTGTTTTAGAAACTGAAGGAGCATCAAATGACTTGCATTCTGATTTTTATTTATCACGGAAATGGTTAGGAGTATTTTCTCGTGTGGTTCATCAGGGATGTCTGTCACATATTGATCAGCTAATTCAAGAAGAAATGAGTTCTATTGCATCAACAAGTCTTATTTTCATTCTACTCTTGTTGACATGCTTGGCTGGTTGTCAGCAAGTGGGATTCATAGAACTATGAATTTATCGGAACCGGTTTCACGATTGTGACAGGCTGAGATACTGGGTCTGTGTTGCATGCCTGTGGCGTCGCCGTGATGTTTGATGCATGACTTTGCGATGGAAAAGGCCGTGTGCAGGTCGCACTTGCATGTTTGGTAATACTGCTGGTGGCGGCGGCGGTGGTGTTGCTGGTGGTGTGGCACGCAGGGTGTGTGTGTATGTGTGTGCGCGCGCGTGCGTGTGCTCTGAAGGTCATGGCAGCTGAATCTTGCCCGAGAGTTGTTGGCTGCGTAAAGGGCAATTCAAGTTGATGCCGACTCGATCAGGCATGGCTTATGAGCTGACTTTGTACTGGCAGCGGGAAATTCGCCTATTGGACATGACCTTTGCAACGATCACGTGTCACGTAATAAATCAGGTGATGACTCCTGTAACTTAGTGTAAGCCTACAACTTAATGCATGTCAGGAGTAGATCTACCGGTACTCTTGCTGAGATCATATGAACACAATCATAATGCTTTCTGGCCTTAGTAAAAAAATAAGAAGACCGATAATAGGAGTGCGGGCAACAATTGGAGAGTGCGACAGTACATTGACTGCGTCATGTTAGAATAATAATAGCAATGCAAATGATGCTATGCACATGTCGGTAAGTACGCATACAATAGTCATGTACATTGTATCGATCTACTTGTAATTGTACCGGTAATAAAAGGTACTATTAGAAAAATTCTACAATCATGCATGGTCAGTTTTATGAATATTAATTTTGTAGGTGCTGGCTAGATCGTGGAGCATAGAAAAAATAAGGCAGGGATCGAACACAGCACAGGGAGTCGTCAAAATAAGCGACTGGCCTGAGCTCGTACCAGGAGTGCTGACGACTCCCTGTGTTCGAACAACAACAGTTACTACTACTCCATGCCATGCATGGTCCCGACTCCCTACAAAAAGTACAAGTAACTGGCTATGTAAAGTGTGTGTGTAGCGCAAGTAAGGTCAAGGTCAGCTAGCGCTAGCCTACACTACAGACTACAGTCCATTTCATAACTAGTATACCTGGTATACGCGTACCTAGGCAAAAACCGTTATGCCAGCACCACATACAATCTGTGATCACGTTGTGCATAATTTTTTCCAAATTGGGCGTCTGTTATCCAATCGTTTAGAAACTAGATGAGAGTAATTGTGGAGCGGTTCTGAGCAATATTCCGAAAACTATTCTCAAAAAGTTCCAGCCGAATTGGAAATATTTAAAAAACCCTACGCGTGTTTTGAAATGGACTGTAGGCGCAGAGTAACCATGGTAACAGTGTCAACCATGCATGGTCATGGTCAACAACAAGTAGGCAACAGTTACCAGGTTTACGCATGCAGACTCCGCACTGCACAGCATGCAAAGACCGCTACAGAGTTGAGTACGGTAGCTCTACTACGGTAGAGTCCGTACAACTCCAACTGTGAGTCCAACTCCAAGTACCGGATCACACGCACTCATGTACTCATGCGATCCGTGTGAACTCCAAAAATACTCCATCTCTCATCTGCTTGTTGACTTGTTTTGACTTGATCCAATCTTGATAGTCTTGCACCAAAACTTCTGATGCCACTTGCACTTGCTGCTGGAATTATTTTGAAATTGCTTGACCATCTTGTAGTCAAATGCACTGGAGAGAATTTATCCTAGTAGATGTTGCTCCGTTGTGATCTCGATATGTCCCGTGCCTGAAAGTTGAGTTACGGCTTCGCAGCGCTGCGTTGCAGCTGCTGCCCTTTCTCCACAATCATCAATTTTTGGTATTGTTGAGTATATTTACAAGTGGCGTTATGGCTCCTCCCAAAGTGCGTAAAGTTGCTCTGATGGGATTCAAGGCGGTTGGTAAGTCCTGGGTTTTGGGAGTGAAATGCACTGTACATGGCTGTACATGTGAGAGTAAAATGCATTGTTCAACCCATGATTACCGGTATTATTATTCATCTATCATTGCGAGTTATTCTGACTTGCAACTGTGTATGTGTGTGCGTGTGCGTGCGTGTGTGCGTGTGTGTTTTATTGTTGGGGACATGGGTTTATATTCGGTGCAGGCAAATCTTCCATCTCCATTCAATTTGTCGAGGGTCATTTTGTAGATTCTTACGATCCTACAATAGAAAATAGTAAGTACAGTATAGATTGTTTGAATTCTTGACAGTATTGTTGTTCAATTTCCTTGGAGACAAGAATGCAATTATTCTTAGAAGTAGGACTTTCTTCAGGCTCAACATTTTGAAAGTTTTCACTAGTATAAAAGTATAGGGCTTGAAAGTGCTACGTCACAGCATAGCAACAATTTCAAAAATTCAAAAATTGGATCCACTTGGATCCAGTTTTTGTATGGATCCAAGCACATTTCAAGCCGTCTTACTCACAGCAAGGTGATGTAACCAGTGAAACTGACTGATTTGGCTACTGGGGGCGGGGTTTCAACTGGTGGCGAAGTAAAAGTCACCCCTGCATACGACATGAGTGGGTTGCTATGCACCCACATACTGAGGCAATAGCAAAGTCACACCTTAGTGGATCCAAAATACTTGGTCCGGCTCATCGCAATTGTCGTTTATCTATCGCCACTAAGAACAGGAGTTTTGTGGCCGCTCTGTGAAATTTTGAATAGGCATAATGAGAAAGCATGATACATGAATACTGTCCGCCACAAGAAAAAAAATTCAGCCATGGAATCAGGTGAAGCGAGTCATAGAAGGGAAGCAAGGTAAGCAAAATGCACGAAATAAATCAGCGAAGGAGCGCGTTCTTGCATTCACACTCTTACAGGTCCAGAGTTCATTCAACTCTCCATCACTCCAGCTGCCGCCATTACATGACGAATGGTAGAGTACGTATGGCAGCAATGGGAAAGGAACAGTTGTGTGTCTGTCACTTCGGTGCTTGAAGGAACCGTGAGCAGTGTGACCTGTGTGTCACCACAGTGTGTTTCAACAGAGCCTTCGAATGAGGCATGAGGCACCTCTCCAGACCAGCTGTCATACGCTCCACTGGATACGCTGACGACGACTCTTGTAATGCTGCTGCCAGGTCCACGAAGGAACAAAAGGAACAACCAAAACGTCCCTTGCATGCGCGCATCGCATCAAAAAACACCTTTCTTCTTCAGCATGACGCTCATACTCCTCTGCCGTGCACGCGTGCCTGTCACGCTCTCCAGGATGTCAGTTGCCCCTGCTACAGTTCCGGTCTTCGGGTCGCTGCGTTTGGCTTTTGGCAACACAGACAGTGTATGGCCAGATTTCCACTTCCCAAAAAGTCGAACACATCGCGATTCAAAGCGCTAGTCGCGATCATTTTTTCTTTGGTGCCTCATTTGATCTTGCCATCACAACCTCCCAAGCAAAAGTAAGTTACATATCGTGATTGGACTGGGTTTTACCTGTCAAAAGTGCGTGGGAGATAGGCGACAATTGCGATGAGCCGGACCAAGTAGCAATCTGATGTCAACTTACTACTCCCTGGCCGTTTTGACGTCATCACTTTCAAGCCCTATTGTTGTTCTACAAAAAAATAATATAGTATTCATAAGTTTGAGGGATTTGAAAACGGGACAGTAACACAAAAGTGTGCAGTTTTGATCTATCAGGTTTGGGTGACTTCCCATGGGCACCAGCATTAGCACATAGAGTATGCCAATACAGTCGTCCCTCTCTAATCCGGCACCTTTTGCTACGGCGTTTTCTGCTGGATTAACGAGGGTGCTGGATTAAGAAATCCTGCCCTCTGACCCGGCCCTACCCAATTGCATGCATGTATCATATGTTGTATTATGTACGTCAAAACGCAGGGGTTTTCCGTGTCGACCCAAGTATTTGGTGCACGGCTTTATATTCTCAATTGTTCTCCGGGAATATACACAGTGATAAAGTGATAAAGTAAAACAGAGAACATGTTCACATGTAGTCTTGCACACACACGCACACGCACACACACACACACACACACCTGAAAATTGGCAGGACACTACCCCTTGCTAAAATAAGAAAGTATGGTTGACTGCCGTTGTCTCCTGGACAACATTGACCAGACTGGCCTAGCCTGGCCTGCAAGGAGTGCACCTGTACGGTACGCGATTTACGACTGCCGGATTATGAAATCAAACTACGTGCAGTTTGAGCGATTCGTTTCAAAAAGTCACTGCCGGAGGTGGAATTCAAGTGCCGGATTAAGATGTAGTATTGAACGAAAAAAATCGGTTTCGTCAGAAAGTGCACCGGTTGGCAAGGGTTCCTAGTCGGGATCCAAGACAAAAAAAAGTGTCTAAATCTGAAAGTGGTCTGCCACTAGAATCCGAGTAAAATCGAACTGTACAGGTGGAGAGAGTACCTGTTGTGGAGTCGAATGGTAGTTGTTGGCCCATCTAGATCGGGGAAGGAGCTCCGCGAGAGGCAATTTTAGTTCAGCTTCGTCGGTCACTTGAACTGCTCACGTTTCGTCTCGGGCCGATTCTGAGTTGCGTAGAGTACGCACATGACAACCAAATGCAGTCAAATTTGAAAACTCAAAGCGAGTGTCTGATCTGGTCGGCGACTTCACTTTGTTGTTGATCATGTTCTTGGTCAAGAAGTTTACTCTCGCTCTTGTAGAAGTAAAGCACAGGGACTTCGTAAGCCTAGCCTAGATATCGTTTGGTCCTTCCACTACCCACTCGCAATGGCAGCCAACAAACTACCCGTCGTGTCGTGTAGTTTGACGCCGCTTCGCGAGTGATCTCAAATGTTTTCTTGATTGGAATTTCGTTGATACGATCGATACGAGGGACACCTATCATTCTGCGAAGGTAAGCTTGGACCCTTTCCCTGCTTCTCTCTCAGGCACACACACCTTCAATAGCACTCGATTAAATTAGAGTTAGAGTAGAAATGATATAAACGCATTGTAGTCACTACTCAATCGAAAATGAAATAAATAAATACTACAACTGTAGTAAGGAAGACATGTCCAGTGCTGTGCAATTCATGGACAATATGCCCAGTTTAATATGTACATTGGAATAAAATGTAGGATGATAGCGTCATCGCTTTAGAAGCCAAGCTATGTACAAGCAGTTTATATACAATGTGTGAACAGGTTAGGTGTGTTGACAGCCATAGCCATAGCTCAGCATTTTTCCAGCAAACTTCCACAGCTTTGGCATAAACTGCTTGGTCGGCGGTGATGATACAATGTGGCTGATTCAGCTTCTTCGATGTGCGGAGGGACCGGACAACAAGCTCATAAACTGCTCATGGCTGTAGGCGATGCTGGGATGATCGGCAGGTAATCGACTGTTGTTGGTGTCCCTGGCGCGGTTGACTGGTTCATTTCAGCATTGAAGCCGGACCATGCGGGTACCAGTTGTGACTCGTCATCAGGTCTACCAAACTTCGGTGATACCGTCTGGTCTGCGCACAACAAGAACCAAATCAGGTCAATCGATGCCACAGTGAGAAATGGGTCCATCGAGCCTTGTGCATCAGGAACTGCATGGGCCATTGGAGGAGGTCTTGGTCTCGCACCGCAGTTGTATTCTAGGCTCGGAACTGCAGGTGGGGCAACACTTCGCGGTCGGCGTTGGTTACCTGGCTCGGCACGGCTCGTACTTTCTGGTGGACACGGATCGTCCTGGAAGGGCAGCGAGTGCTGGAGCACAATGCCGTTGGTGCAGTGTGTCGTCCCTTGGCCACTCAGAGTTTCCTCGTTGAGGTCGTTATTGTCCCAGCAGAAATGAACATTACCTCCATGCTGGGAAATGCCACGGGGTACTACAACACTGCTGGCTGCGGAACTTCCTGCTACTTCGAGAGAATACCCGGTTTCTACTTCTCGCAGCTTTGAATACGATATGCCATGGCCGAACTGGTTGAGAAGATCCACCATGTGCTTGCTCCTCGTGTGGTGGTGGACAGTAAGCGCCAAAGCTACGTGCTTTGGTGTCAGAATAAATCCACGAGTTGCAGCATACACAATATCCTCAGCAATTGCCAAAATCTTGCAATGGATGTCGGCAGGGACATGGACACGGGAGTCTGTCAGGTCACCAATGTCACACTTCTCAGGGCCGACAATGGTCATGGCAAGCACATTGTAGAGGATGTCTGGCACTGGCGCATTCTCATTTACGACATCACTGGCATGTGGCATGGTGGGTATTGTGGGCTGCTGATCACGGATGGCGTTGTTCAGAGCCATGGCTGTGTGGAAGGCATGTACCTTGCAGCTGCTATCAATAGCTGGAGGTGCATCTTCATCCGCCATATCATCTCCAGCATATTCGTCGGCGCACTGCTGGGCTGCCTCAGCCTTGGCTACTGCTGCACCAACTACTTGTAGCAGTTGTGATTCTGTCAAGGAGCTGCTTACAACGCTCTCGGGTGACAATGGACCAGGACGGACGAAGTTGATGCGTTTTCCAAAATGCTCCAACAGGCGCTTCTTCAGCAGCCATCGTCGGTATTGACTTGCAGCTCCGAGCTCTGCCAGCTTGGCGCTGTACTTGGACGTCAGGCTGTCCATTCGCATCGCTCGTATTTCTGTCTCACTGAAGAGCTCCTTCTCCATGCATACAGCCAGCCACTCAAAGGCTCTATCGTACACATTGTCGTCTGCAACTGCCGTCGTCTTCTTTGCCTCCAGTGCTGCCACCGTACTAGAATGAGTGTAGTTACGGTAGCAGCAGAAATGGTAGCATATGTCCGATGCTACACAATCGGGACTGCCCTCCTGGAGGGTAAGTAAAATCCGCTGGCCTGCTTCATCTCCATGTGCATTTGCTGCACGGATCAGGCTTTCGCCAGCGCGGAATTCTGAACAGAGGGTAAGCGGTTCAGCTTTCCGGTTCTTTTTTTGTTGTTTTTTTGTTGACATATTATACACAGAGTGATGTCGATGGTTGTCACTTTGCTTCGTGTCATAACACGCTTCTTGGGAGGTTCATCCTCACAGGCATCTGCGTCACCCACCTCCTCTGCGTCAACATTGCTGGCAAGGCCACCACTCTCCTCTCCCTCAAAACGACTCAGAGTCTTCTTGTGGGTGTAGGCTGCATAGCAGCGCCTATGGTACCAGCCACGCGGGGTGCTCTCATCCGTGCTACACTGCTCCTGGCAGAGAAAGGCCCATGTGCCGTCCTGGCGAATTTTGGCAGCAGATACCACTCGAGACCAGCTGGTGTTCGTGAAATTTACTTTCTCCTCCTTTTCGCTTCCTTCGATCTTCACACAGTGGCACAAACATGAGCTCCACGAAATTTCCGAAACCTGAGTACTGGCTGAAGCCACTAAATGCCCAACACTACCTGGACTTTGTGCACAGGAGGCACAATTCTCGTCTTCCTCCATGCTTACTCGCGTGGGAATGAAATTGAAAGACCTCGTGCTTCCTCAAATAAGTTCCCCGGCCAGCGTCGTCATTTTCTACGGCGTCGTCATTTTCTAAATTTTTCAAATGTTTGTCGTGGGTACGCAATGTGTGCATGCTCAAGCCATGCGCGTACGGACGCACGGCGAAAATAAATTTGCGACCTCCTTGAGAACGCTTGAGAAGGCTTGCGAAATCGTCGACGAAAACCCTGTCGCCGCTCGTCTCCTTCCCCGATTCAGAAGGGCCAACAAACAAAATTGACCTTCTATAACCATCACCTATCAGCCCTGAAAGCGGCAAATACTCGGAGTGAAGTGGCAGACCCAATTTTATTTTTGAGCTTCGGATCCTGTACTATCCAGATAAACAAGTGCCGGATTAGAGAGGGACGACTGTAGTACCAATAATAATTTTTTTTTTTTTTTAAACATTTCAACCTTGTTGATGGCTTGTCGACTCTTGTACAGGTACCATGTTTTACATCGACAATGCGGTGTATCATCAGCATGCATATTCTTATTTCTCATATTATTCTGTAGCATTAAAATATGGCCTTTTAGGCCCAATTTTCAAAAAATATCCCAGGGGACGACCCCCGGACCCCCTCTCACAATTTCGCCGCACCAATATTAAACTGCTTCCTACGCCCCTGTAGTGAGTTGCACACTCTGGTTGATGTACTCTTGGTAACATTGACCATATAGGGAGGGCGCAGTGTTGCTATGGAAATAAAGTGAAGCCTGTCTAAGCTGCTCAAGGGACCGTACAATTATGGTCCCCATGTTCAAGCGGTCTCCTTATCCAGGGGCATTTGACTTGATAACCTCCCTTGGTTCTAGAGTGCTGCTCGATGAAATCCAATGGAGTGAGGCAAGTACGCACCGGGCGCTGTGCGGCCCTAGACCTGTGAACACTGGATTACGAAATAGTGGAGGGCGCAAAGCTACAAACTTGACTGACATGGTCGGATTTCATTGAGCAGCACGTTCGTTGTAGTGGTCCTCATGGGACAGGTGTTTGCTCTATCAGAGTGGTCGCCTTGACAGGTTCTATTGTATTGAAAGTTCAGTCTGAAGTACCCTGGATATAACTTACTGTGTGCTGTGAAGTGTCCTGTACTATACATGTACATTCCAGTCAATCGACCGACCTTGCATATACAGTACCACGGCTTTAAAGTACAGATTCTCATGTCCCCTGGAGGTTCAGTCGACTCCTCATCATGAACATCAATATACAAGAGTATCAGTTCTTTATGGCCAAAATGAAATACACTCATGCTATACAAGCAATACATTAGGCCGAAACAAATAATGACCTTGTTTCCGGTCGGCCGACCGGGCCACTTTTTCCCAAATTCTGAAACTTTTTTTGGTCCCCAATGTATACAAACGGTGGCAATGCCATGTGTGCAAGTGCTCTCAACGAGTCATAACTCAGTCAAATCTCAACCAAATTCCACAATCGAAACACGTACAAGGTAGCAGAGATTCTCAGCTGTCGGCTCGAAAACGTCCGGGGTCGATACGAGCTAGAATAACGGAGCTGGAAGGACTCAAACTGTTTGCTTGATTTCTCGGGATGTACGAAAACAGGAATACACCACATGCTGTACAAGAACAGTGAGTCAGTCAACTTTGATATTGATCCTTGCCATGATATATGTACAAAGTACATGTGTAGGTGCTCTTGTCCATCAATACCACAACGATTGAGGAACCAAAAAAAGTTTCATTCCGGCCGACCGAGTCTCCTTTTTGAGGGGTTGCCGACCGGAAACAAGCCTATTTTTTGTTTTGGCCTTATACCTGGTGTGTTGCGGCCCTTGACTGCATGAGTGCACTTGGTTTATATGCCCCCCCCCCCCCCCCCCCTCTTTCTACGTGATACGGCTGTATTATGATATTTGCTACATGCGAGTCTGTTCTAAATGGAGTAGTCTGTATACTGTACCTTGTGTCATTGTATCCTTTTTGTGGTACTTGTAGAATGTATACTAGTATATGAAATGAACCATCTTGATGAGTCCGTATTCGTCTTCATTCGGTGGCATTTGTCGTATTTCATTGTCCACACTACTATGCTACAGCACTGTTGGTAGAACATGTCTAGAATAAGTCATTGTCTGTGCTTCATTTGCATCTACTCTGTACATAGCATTCACCAAGGCTGTCAAGCACAAAGGACATGATTTTACCATGGAGCTAGTCGACACAGCTGGACAGGTACCTTTCCTTGCCCTAATTAATTAATCCAGTATCTTATTCTTGTGTTCGGACGTGCGCGCACGTGTGTGTGTGTGTGTGCATGCACGCACGTATGCGTGCGGGGTGGACGTGTACATGGGCGTACGGGGTGTGCGTGTCTGCGCTGTATACTTGTGAGCCCATCGGAGTAACATTGTGCACATATGCCATAGGGTTCAGTCATTGCTTGGTAAACCCCCAAAGCCGCACCAATAATTTAATCTTGTGATTTTTGAAGCAATAAAATAAGGGCTTTTTGGGCCCAATTTTCCAAAACATTTCACGTGGCTGCACCAATGCAGAGTACCTTCCGACACCCCTGTGTAATAACTAATATCACTGTTGGGATGAAGTCACTGTTGGTTGATGACTGCTTCTGCTGATAGTGGGTACCCGTTTTGTTTTCATTTTCATTCCGGGGAGTGCTAGTAACCGAGGCCCATTTACACGAGGGTATTTTTTCATGATGGCTCACCGGCTTACATGGTACATGTACCATGGTTTGTTCTGCTGTGTCGCAATCGTGACACAGCATCATGGTTGCATGGTTTCATGACGAGGCTTGCTATGACAAGGCTGCAGTGTATACGCGTGAAAAAAAACTGGCGGAAATTGTCTTTATATTTCGCTGGCAATCCACTTGCCAGCATAGTATAAACACGGCCTGAAGTGCCTTTAGGGATATCACTAGAGCGTGCACTCTCTCTCACTTTCAATCTCTCACTCTCCCACTTACGCTTTGCATTGCTCTCTGTCTCTTTCTGTCTCTCTCTGTCTCCCTCTCTGTCGCTCTCGCTCTCTCTCTCTCTCTCTCTCTCTCTTTCTGTCTCTCTCTCTCTCTCTCTTTCTGTCTCTCTCTCTGTCTCTCTCTCTCTCTGTCTCTCTCTCTCCCCCCCCCCCCCCCCTCTCTCTCTCTCTTTCTCTCTCTGTCTCTCTCACTCACTCTCTCTCTCTCTCTCTCTCTCTCTCTCTCTCTCTCTCTCTCTCTCTCTCTCTCCCTCTCTCTCTCTCACTCACTCACTCACTCACTCACTCTCTCAATCTGTAGGATGAATACTCCATAGTACCAAATGCGTACACCGCTAATGTTCATGGCTATATCCTGGTCTACTCAGTCGCATCGGAAAAAAGGTCAGTGTCTGCTACTGTAGCTGGATTTTGAATACATGTACATGTAACCTCGCAATGCCTTATCTGTGCAGAGTGCTCAGTGCCTACGGTGCCAGAGCGTTTCCTTACTAAAACTAGTAGCAGCAACAACCTTCACGTTTTCCTGATTCTTGGCCATGTACATAAACTGTGGTGCCATGGAGCTGTACTGTAGCAAATTTCTTGTTGTTGCCTTTTCAGGGTATTTCGTAGGCAGTTCCTGACTTTCTTACGGGCATATGTTAACCTAGGAAGGACCGGAAGCTCAATGGGGCAGAGTTGGTTCAAGCTGGCGGCCATGCTGGTATAACCGAAACCTGTGTCCAGAGACGAACAGAATAATTATTCGGATAGACACTGATTATGTTGGAAGTGTGCTGTGTACTGCGATGCTGGAAAAAGTTGCTGTGATGATTGTTCTACATTCATCTCACATACCACTGTGCTTTTTGTGTGTTGTTTGCGCGTGTGCTCTTGCTACGCGCAGCTTTGAAATGGTCAGTGTTATCCGCGATAAAATCTTGGACAAGCTTGGCGTGGATACGTAAGTCTCTTTGTTTGTCGCCAAGGCAACACATTGATTTGAATTTCAGGGCTCTTACACGTAAGGGCCAAGTAATAGTTGGCAAGGGGAATCGTTTGGAGAATGGCACTTGGCAGCAACCACGGCAACTGTGACATGCTGTACTTTTACTGGTATCAGCACAACTTTAAATATGTATATGATTGTATTGTTGCAAGAGTACATGAAAACCAGAGTGTGCAGCTTGGGGCCTTTTCTGCTATGGGTGTCTGTCACGGCGGAATTTCGTAATTACATCATATTTGGCGCAGATCTGAGGCGGGAAATGGCGTAGTGCGTACAACTGAGCTGCAGTTGTGCATAAAGCGACCTGCTTGAATCCTGCTTGTACGCACTACATCACTAAAATGATGTAATCACGGAATTCCGCCGTGACAGCATCCCGTCCGAGCTGCACACTCTGGTTTTCATGTACTCTTGATTGTTGTAGTGTTTCTGTGATCTAGCCCTTTGCTAAAGTCCGTTTGTCTTTTTGTGACTTGCCAGCATAGTAATGTACATGACTTGTACTCATCTTCTTCTTTCTCATGTGCTTTCCCCCTGCAGTATTCCACTTGTTCTTGTTGGCAACAAATGTGACCTGCACCGTGAAAGGTGGGTCTAGCATTGCCATTGTTTGGTCTAACTTTGCTTTGGTTGAATTATTTTACCAGGGGATTGATTGCATGGTGTGAAACTCCGAGTTGCAAGCAAAACCCCATTCTGCCTTGTTTGTAAAGAGCTCTGCCCGTTAGGGTATCGACTCTTGCGAACTATGTGGGCAGAGAAATAATTCCGCTGGATATTTGGTGTAAATGAACCTTTTTTTTCCCTTTTCAACATCTTCAACTGATGAATAATAAATAAAGTTATGAATACCGTACAAGCCCATGTAACTGTTGCAGATATCACCGCACACAACTTAACCCGCATGTTAGAGTTTTAATGTGAATAGGGCTTGAAAGTGCTACGTCACAGCATAGCAACAATTTCAAAAATTCAAAAATTGGATCCACTTGGATCCAGTTTTTGTATGGATCCAAGCACATTTCAAGCCGTCTTACTCACAGCAAGGTGATGTAACCAGTGAAACTGACTGATTTGGCTAGTGGGGGCAGGGGTACAACTGATGGCGAAGTAAAAGTCACCCCTGCATACTACATGAGTGGGTTGCTATGCACCCACATACTGAGGCAATAGAGAGGTTCCGGGGTACGATTTTCCGTGCCAAAATCCGTATGGGCGCTACGGATTTTTTCCAGACGTGCTCCATACGATTTTTCGGCACGGAGAATCCGTGTGGACTGGCTTTCATACGAACCATGTTTCGTATGGAGATTTTGCGTCATCGGGTGCAGAAAGATTTTTCGCGTACAAATTTGGTACGAGAAACATCGATTTTCCGCGGGAAGTTTTGATTTCGGTACAAATTTTCAAAATAGAAAGGCATAGCGCGGGAATGTGACGTGTTTGCGATCGTAACCTAGGCAATGACGGCAAACACATACGTTCCGTACCCCGGAACTTTTCACTGCTCGAAAACGACGTCTAAAATATCCGTAGCGCCTCCACGGATTTCGGCACGAAAAATCGTACTCCGGAACCTCCCTATTAGCAAAGTCACACCTTAGTGGATCCAAAATAGAAATCTGATGTCAACTTACTACTCCCTGGCCGTTTTTGACGTCATCACTTTCAAGCCCTATACTATAGAGAGGTTGCGCACAACGAAACTTCGTAAGATTTTGACTGTCCGGGTTCGAGTAACGGAAGTTTCTACGAACTCCCTGTCTGGACTCTTCGCGGCCGCCGCGTCGACCCACTACGGAAAAGTGCACACGTGGTGCGCAACCTCACGTTTTACGAATATTCGTTGGCTTTTTTCGTTAAAAAATTTCGTTACGGCGCTACGAATTTTCGTTGTGCGCAACCTCTCTAATATCTTCCCAAGGTTCCCTTGTCTCCATTCCGATATTTGATGTGGTATATATTTTGCGCTGAGTTTGAGCTGAGCTCTGCGGCATTTATCCTAATGTTTGTTGTCCCACTGTAGGCTGATTAGCACGGAGAGAGGAAAGTCTTTGGCTGATAAGTGGAATGCTGCGTTTATTGAAGCATCTGCTAAGCACAACCATGTGAGTTTTGTCTACACTAAGCATGATATTCTATTTTCTAGAAGTTCCTACTAGAGTTTAGGAGGCGTCCGAATTTTACCAGTCTTTGATTTTGTCGGTAGCAACGCGACGTAGGAAGGGTTCTCTCTTTTAGTGACAGTTTGGTGTGCGTGTTGTTTGTTCAAACAGAGTGTTGATGAAATCTTCCAAACGGCCATCAAGGAAGTTGAGAAACGGTCCAATCCAGAAGAGCCGAATGACTGCATCATTCTGTGATGAATTGGCAGCACCGCGTTCTACTAGACGAATGGGGGTTAGGTGCATATTCTGCACACTGGCATGCATGGGTAGCCTTCCTTCTCTCTGTCCCTTTCTCTTTCCATCCGTCAGTGTGTCAAATTGTGTAGCAATTGGCCTATCCATCTCCTCTCTCTCTTTCTTTATAGTCGCTTTTCCTTTTTCTCCCTTCCTGGGTGTGCGCTGCCTTCTGGCGTGCATCGTGTAAATACTGGTTCTTGTTTGCTGTCCACACTGGCTCAATGTGCTTAATTGAGAAGAATAGCCGGTATGTACTGCTGGCCACTGTAGCATCCATTATACAGACACACACGGACACGCACAAACGCGCATACACACACATTCTCTCTCTGGCTTGACAATCCTCAGTTCGTTGATGAAGTAGGTGTTCCTGGATTTTTCTTTAGGCATGCGTTTGCTGTGTGCCCCTTTGATATGCACGTTAATGGTTTTACGGATGTTGGAGTTGACCCGCTTGAAAAATGCGTCCCGTTCTGCTGTTCTGATCATAAAATGTATTTGTTTTCTAGGCTGATCCTGGTGTCAGCCGGGATTACCAGCCAGAGCTGCTGCTACTGCTGCTAACCTCTGCTATGCTCACTGGCTCTGCCACTGCTGGTCATCATGTTGCTTGTATTGATTTGCTAGGCTGACGTTTTTACCGTACCCCTGCTGAAGGCTGGGTGCACTGCCTGTCCGTGTGTCTGTGTGTGTTTTTAACCAGCATCCTTGCTACCTCCCTGTCCATATGTTTGGTATTTGTAAAGAAATATTTTATCACTCCATACATGTCTTGAGTTACCGTCATCATCTTCATCATCGCTATCTAATCTCTTTTCTCAGTCATAACCGTTGCAACAGCAGTTTGTGAACCCACCAAAAGTTTTTCTTGGTCTACCGTTGTTCACAGTGGGGTATGTGTGCGTTTGCTCTTGTCAGCATCAAGTACTACATGTACATCATGTACATTTATGTCTAGACCAGAACCCTATGTATTATCGCAACCATGCAGTTTCAGGGAGCCGTGTACTCCGCCTGCCTGGCCTAGCTGGTAGCTGGTCACACCCGACAATGCTGCATGGTTGTGCATGCCCTGTTTGCCGCACATAAGAATACAATCACGCAGCCACCAGTTGCTTGTGCTAAGTACTTTAAGTAATAGCAAGAATACATGGGTTATGTACTCTTGCCGTCTTGGGGTTAGGTACTCTTGGTAATAGCAAGAGTGCATAATCCATGGACTTTTGCATTGGCAATACAATCATGTACTTCGAAGTAGCAAGATGTAATAGTGTAGATGGCTGCGCTTTTGTCTCTGAACTGAAGCTGTGATCGTACTTTTATGTACAACAGTGTCACAGTACAGAGTAAATCTAAAAGCCCACACTTTAGTGACCACACCATCAACAGCATCAAATTCAAATAAATTATTGCTTTGACTCAATAAAATACCACTGCACTTTTCCATGTAGCACTGCACTTTCTCAAAAGCCAATAAATGCTGTCACTATAAAGGCCAAGTGATGCTAACGCGGATCCCGCGAATATTATATTATTATATATAAAGGCCAATCATGAAAATACTGTTTATAAAATACTCCTTTTTAGGGAAAGTGAAGGTCAACATAATTATTATGTAGTAGCCTCAGGATTTATTGCAATTACATACCAGTTATAAAAAAAAACTCGGTTTTTATACTGGCAATAAATCCTTCGGCTCTCGTACATTAATAATAATATAATCAAGAGTAGATAAACAAACACACAAAAAACTGTTTATCTACTCATGATTACATGTATAATCAAGAGTACATAACCCCCCGGGGTTATGTACTCTTGGTATAATACAATTGCCTCAGGATAATGACGTCAGTTGCGCCTCGAACGACGTCATTCTAATTCTAGACACATCAATAATCCAGAACACAGTCAATCAGTGTGAATACTAGTATTCGATCGATGGAATTATTGTTATTGTCTCCTTATGTCATTGTTACATGACTGTATTGACGTAACTCGTTGAGCACAGCTATTATCACAGTACAGTACTAGTACACTGCATATATTTCTTGCTGCGTGTTCCAGAGTTCTTGTAGCTGTGTCAGACCTCAGAAATAGGATTGATTTTCTCCAATACAAGCACAGAACACCATCGTTTTTCCCTGCCATGGCCGAACCAAGTCAGCCATCTAATCCAAGCGAAGAATCGCAATCAGCTAGTGCTGTCCCGAAAGCACCCAGCAAACCTCTATTTCAAGTCAAGAAGTGGAGCGGTGTAGCCATGTGGTCGTGGGACGTAGAATCTGAGACTTGTGCTATTTGTCGAGTTGGTATTATGGGTGAGTTTTCCATGTGCAGTTTTACGAAATATTTAGTTGGAGCAATTGACCAATTTCGAGTACATGTACAACACTATACTCCAAGCAGTCATGCAGCTGCATTTCAAAAATAGGCAAATAAGTCACATACACAGCCTTCACCTCCAGTCCAGCAGTCCAGTCTATACCTCTGTGTGTGTGTGTATGTGTGAGTGTGTGTGTGTGGGTGCGTGCGCATGCATGTGTGTGTGTGTGTGTGTGTGTGTGTGTGTGTGTGTGTGTGTGTATGTGTGTGTATGTGTGCGTGCATGCATGCATGTGTGTGTGTGTGTGTGTGTGTGCATGTGTGTGTGTGGTGGTAGTGTGTGGGTGTACGTGTCCCAGCACAAGTTGCTATGGCTTCAGCCGTAGCATTGCAGCTTCGCTATTATCGCCTCTGGCGATGGGCGTCAAAAGGTGTACGTGTACACTCATTTCTCTCTTATCCGGGCAGTCTGGGACCGAGCGCTAGCAGTGCACTGACTGTAACTTTGAAATGTCAGTAACTCTGCAATCATGGCTGGTAGCTTGGCTTACAGCTCGTAGCTATACTGATGAGGCCTATATGGCCGAAACAGCTTGCTGTCTACAGCAGTGGGTAACTCTGAATCACGTACATATTGATAAGGAAGGGCTAGAGTAGAGATCTGGCATATGACATCACTATTTCAACACCTTTGCAAAAGTAACTAAGGATTATGTACTGTCTACTCCCAGTAAGTCACACGCTCAGTCCTGCAGACAGAATTGTGTGACTTGTCATGAGTGCATGGCTTACAAATACTGTCTTTGCCAAAGTGAGCGACTGATCGTGAGTGTGCGACTTATAGCGCGAGAAGGCTGTACAAGTTGCTGGCAGGTTGGGAGGTTCACATCAGATTGTAGTACAGTTTTTTAAAAGTGTGATTTAACAGTAGCAGTACAGGAGAACATTGAAGTTAGTTGTCACGTGTGTGCAATGCATGTAGTTACATCACATTAGCACAATCGTGTACAATGTACAATGCACATAGCATGCACAGCTCTCATGCCGTTTGGATCTTGCGCAATTGACAGTGCTAAGAGTACGAGGCTAGCTGTTGCATGTCATGGGCATATCACTCCACACTGAACCAGTGCCAGCCGCAATCAGCACGCATGCGCGGTTGGTCGTCCCACTCGTCACTAAACCGTTGTCGGTCACACCATGCATGTACATGTACAATAATGCATTATGTGTACAGTAACACAGTCATGTAATTGTTGGAGATGTCCCATAGCATGCATGTACAGTTGTGCTCGGTGTTATCCGACCCAAAGTGCACATTATTTGGCGCCCTCAGCTTGCACGGCCCTTGATGCCATGGAAGTGGTACGAATGCGGCTAGATGTACACATGTATGAACATAGCGATGCACTAGTACTGTAATCAGAACTGGTCCGGGGCACCAGTTTTGCACCTTGGGTCTGATGTCAGTGAGCTCAACTGTACATGCGCATCACATGTGTAGTATTGGTGTTGAATACGCCTCTCTAGCCTCTCTAGCTCTTATACGGGCAATCACAGAACATGATATCACTGGCCTGACACAACAACTAAAGAAAAAGCAAAACAAAACAAACAAAAATTTTAAGTAAAAATAAAATAAAACTTGACAATCTTGACAATCTGCACACAGTGACAATGTGGTGTTGGTGTACATGTAGGTGGTGGCTTCTTCCTGTCCACTGGTATAGTTGTTACTGAGTATGCTCCCCTGCATTGGCCTGATAGGCGTGATAGACCTGATAGGCCTGATAGGCTGGTACCATGCTGGTGCTGTGCTGGTGCTGTACTTAGCACTTTCATGTGTTAGCTTGTCGATGTGTTGACGATGATGTACGTTTGTCCTTCAATTTCTCTCCTTCTCTCCCTGGAACAGTCTAGTAGTAGTGGTACTACATTCCTGTCTAGAACTATCTCTCTCTGTGAAGTCCCACTTCCTCACAAATGCATATGACCACTAATTTTCACACTCTTTGCTAACTTAGTTAGTTCCTTGAATATAGTCTTTGCCTCGAGATGTGAGCTTTCTTTTCTGGCAATGGGACCCTTGCCTGAATTTTGATTTTTGCTACTCTTTCTGATACTCCGTTCTTCCCAATCCAGTGTTCGTATGTAGCTGAGAGAACATAGTGCTATGGACTATTGCATTGGAACAAATTCACTCGTTGTAGCCTTCCCACTCTTTCCCTTTCCTTGTCAATTTGCAGTCCTCATCATTCAGCCAATGTACATCAGTTTGTGACCTACGACTGGTTTGTAGACGCTAGTACATGTACATCAGAAACTCATGTACGATATGCCATGTGCATCTGTGTTGTGTTTACCTTCTGCTGTCTGTAGATGCGTGTGCGAGATGTCATACGGACAGCAAGGTAGAGACCTGTGTGGGTAAGTTAGCCGTAGACATCACCCCCATTGCTTCCATCTCTCTTTCTGTCTTTCTCTTTGTCTCTCTGTCTCTTTGTCTCTGTCTCTTTGTCTCTGTCTCTCTTTCTCTCTCCTTCTCTCCCACCTCTCTCTCTCTCTCTCTCTCTCTCTCTCTCTCTCTCTCTCTCTCTCTCTCTCTCTCTCTCTCTCTCTCTCTCTCTCTCTCTCTCTCTCTCTCTCTCTCTCTCTCTCTCTCTCTCTCTCTCTCTCTCTCTCTCTCTCTCTCTCTCTCTCTCTCTCTCTCTCTCTCTCTCTCTCTCTCTCTCTCTCTCTCTCTGTCTCTCTCTCTCTCTCTCTCTCTCTCTCTCTCTCTCTCTCTCTCTCTCTCTCTCTCTCTCTCTCTCTCTCTCTCTCTCTCTCTCTTTATTGTCTGCCTGTTTGTAACCCCATTCCTGGTTTGCTGTGGATGTGTAAGCAGCTACTTTTATGTACGCTGTGTGTTGTTGGAGTGATATGGAGATAGTTGTAAGGGTGGTAACTGGATAACTGGGCATACACTAGTACCTAATGTGAACTGTTCATAATGCTGCCACTGTACTACCTGTGTGCAGTCTGTACAGGTAACTTGGTGAATGATGACCTCAGCAATTGGAGCAGTTTGCCCAAAGCCCTCGCCCCCCCCCCCCCCTTCACTCACATTCTTAGAACGAACGCTGCTATTACAGGCTGTCTGAAGCAACAATTTTCAGACAACCGCTTTTCTGTGTCTAGAGTAGGGGTGAAACGGTTCAGGTTACGAGGTAAGGAACCGGTTTTGGAACTGCCAGCTCAAAATAATCGGGTACCCGTTCCGTGAAATTTCGAACCGAAACTCGAAAAATCTCGTTCTCGTACAAATACTTGTACACATCAAGTCTATTCAAGATTTAAATGTCTTACCTTACGATCACCGCCCTTCCAAAGGGTTCTCCTGGTCATTACCTTCTTCGCACATGGACTCTCCGGTGTCTCGTTCTTGATCGTAAAAATGATTTCTCAAAAATAATTGTCACAAACGCATTTTGTCGGTCTGGAGAAAAGAGTGCATGGAACCGATACCCGAACCTTGGAAAACTATGCTGGCATTAGGGTACCCGAACATGAAAAACATGGAACCGTTTCACCCCTAGTCTAGAGCCCTAAATCGTTTTGTTAGTAGCGTACTGAGTACATATAGCTTATTTTCTATTCTAGCTGGGGATGGGGAGAAGATGTCAACACTACTGGTCTACAGTACTGCAGGGCGCCGAAGACCGGCCAGGCTATAGCCAGGCTAGGATCTCACTAATTTTTAAGAGCGCTCTACAGTCCATTTCAAAACTATAGACGCGTACCTAGGCAAAAACCGTTATGCCAGCATCTATACCACATAAAATCGGTGATCACTTTGTGCATAAAATTTTCCAAATTGGGCGTCTGTTATCCAATCGTTTAGAAACTATATGAGAGTAATTGTGGAGTGGACCTGAGCAATATTCCGAAAACTATTCTCAAAAAGTTCCAGCCAAATTTGAAATATTTCAATAACCCTACGCGTCTATAGTTTTGAAATGGACTGTAGGCTGAATTTTTGCAGATAAGAACGGAAATTGTAATTTACAGTATAATGTACACTCAAACTTTGCATGAATACATGTCGGTTTGGATGATACATTTCCGTACTGCATGCTATTAAAGTCAAAACATGTGAACTGGACGGTGTGCGTATGCGTTACCATGCACCGTCCATGTGCCGGTATAAGCATGTACGGTCCCAAGTTAAACGTTCGTACATACAATGATATGTACAAGTCATGTACATGCACGACTGTAGATCTACCATTGAATAAGAACGAAACGGCTTTGATCACGAAAACTAAGAACGGGCTAGGCTAGAACCCTAGAGTACTATAGATCATGATGTTACCTTATCATCAGGTGCAGTGTTGCTTTAGGAAAAGGGCATGTACGTGTACTAGGGGAAACTGCAGAACTGCTGCCATCAGTTCCAGTCTAGGAGTGCTGTTGACAGCAGGTGGATCGACTTTGATCTTGAATGCATGCATGTGGGTATGTGGGTATTCGGTCCATGATTGTCTTGTGCACGTAGTGCGTCGCTCCCACCTGTGACTCAGTAACAGTGTGTACTTGAACTAGCATGTACTAGTGCATGCTAGGCAGCATACTCCTTTTCCTTCAGATCCCAATAGAGCTTCCTGTTCACACTCGTTGTGACTGAGTCGAATCCAATCTCAGCCCACCCCTTTCGACTGACATCAGGGTGAAATGCTTCTTGCCACGGATCGCGGATAATGTTCACCATATCCGATGTTGCCAAGCGGGGTGGTTGGCCGTCCATCACCTTCTTCACCAGAAGGTCAGACTTTGCTTGCTTGGCTTTCCGCTTGAATAGTGGATAGTTAGCGACGTCTGCCACCTGAGAAACATGGCTGGTGTGCAGCACTCTTAGCTGAAGAGTGGCACCAACCTCTTCCGCAGCCTGCACCATTGGAAGCGTAGTATGTGCCCCGTAGCCATCGCAGAGCCCGTATGCCGTCTTGGCAGGCATGGGGCAACCACTTCCTTGAGCCAGAGTGGAGCCAACTCATAGCTAGATCTGCCAGAAGAGTGGGGGTACAACTGGCAAGGTCAGCCCCTTGCCAGTCTTGGGGTCAACAATGGTTGATCTAGGTGGATCAGCTGCACAGGATCAGCTGCACACTCTTCCCTGGAGGTGTCACACAGCCAGGCAAGAAGTCACTGGTCATGAATGACCCTCCAGTCAGTGTTCAGCGAATGTTGGACTTGTTGGTGACGCATTCACCGGAATCGTCAGCATCAACCGTCATGGTCTTTTCTGTGGGCCCCTTTCCGTCGTCTGTCTGGTCCAGGGTGAAGTCTGTCTGGTCCCACTCGAAAACCAGGTCTGGGTCAGTGATGTGGAACATTACATCGTAGGGCTTCTTCTCGTCAAAGGATACATTCTCGACTGCAATACCGCAGCTCATCATGCCTTCTTCGACGACATCGTACCGAGCCTTGAGATGGTCGGCAGTGGCCCAGCGTGCTCGGTCCATCTCCAGGTGAGTTTGGTTTTTCAGCTTGATTCCCCAGCGCTTGCGGAATGAGTAATTTCAACTCTGGCGCACTTCTTTGTCCTTAAAGGAGTCAGCCAAGGGCGTGCCCTTTATCATATAGTTGGCTGCACCAAGAAGTAGTGACTTTCCTGCCTTCAGCTTCAGTGCCCGCAGCTTTTGCACGAACATTGCCAGCTGATGCTCGTACCGGTACGGAATCTTGGTGTTTGTGCCACACTTCACCGGTGTGATGACCAACGGAGTAGCTTCGACTAAGAAACGACCATGCTGTGGCGGGGTCCCAAACATAGAGTAGACGGCCAGGTTTCACTGCAGAGCCAGGGACCGAGGCTGGCGGTCCCGTTTCTCGACTGGTGTTGGCAGCCGGGCCGGCAGTGGAGGGTGCGGTCTCCAAATCTGCGATGGTAGAGGCACAGGCCGTCACGACGAGGGCTGGAGTCCCGTGACGATGGCCGGCTACCATGGCGACTGCTCGGATGAGAGCGAGATAATTGCTGTACAGATGCAGTTAAATTGGCGATCTGGCTGCGCAGATCGTGCAGCTCGGATCTGGGAACATTGGCAGCGGGTGCGCTGGCAACCGGAGCAGCAGCAACATTTGCAGTGGAGTGTGGGGCTGAAACCTCTAGGATTCCGTCGGCCATGTCGTCAATCTTGTCTTAAGACATGGAATCGCCGGAGGAAGCCAATGCCATCTGCACCCCGGCGGGCAAACGCTGGATAAACAATTCCCGGAGCAGACTAGCATCGATGTCTGCACTGCCCAAGAGCTGCTGCATACAACGAAGCAACTGGCTGGGCTGGCGGTCACCAAGGACCTCTTCTGTGAGGAGGCGATGAAGACGTTGCTGCTGGGACTGCTGAGTTCGGCGGACTAGCATATCACGCAGCTGCTCATAGGGACGATCATCAGGGGGAGATATAATCATGTCCCTTATTTCAATTGCGTACTCCGGTTCTAGGGCACCAATCACGTTCTGAAACTTCGTCAGCTGCCGTGTAATCTTGCGAGTGGCGAAGACTGCTTCAGCTTGCGCGAACCACAGCTGGGGGTCTTTGGGCCAGAAAGGGGACAGTTTGATGGTCATACTGGACTGCTGCGTTACAGGCTGGTCCAGTGGCACATCAGCCGGTTGGATGGGGCGCAGTTTATCCAAGAGGTTACTGCGGCCACGACTCACGGGTACGTTGGTGTCGGTTGTAGTTTGGTCGCCAGTGGCTGCATCGACAGCTTGCTGCGCAGAGTCCGTAGGCATAGACATAAGGGCTAACGGGTATACGTGGGCACGGAGCGGTACTGTAGGCGTGTAACAGTTACTTGTCGGGGGTCACCAATTTGGAGGTCGGGGAAACCGAATCATTAATGTGTGCCTCTAATCCACACAAGTTTACAGAAAAACACTCGATTTTTAATGATAGGATTCTCCCATATCCCATACAATCAGCTGAGTAAGTATGATGCCAAAGTAACTGCCTGTTAACCACAGAAAAGCAGCATCGTGCATGACAGAGGAACCAAACAACTAGTCATCTGCATACATGTAAACTCTCTAGCCATCGGTTGAAGAGAGAGGCCTCAGCTCAGTAAAAAGGCCTCCCGAAGGAACCGGATCCAATGGGCAGCTAAAAACGTAGCATGCATACTGTGTGTATAACTAGCAAGGTCAAAAGATCAAAATAATGAGCCGTACGCATGTACGTGGAAAATGCCATATAATGCGTATACGTGAGCCAAATACATGAATGTAACACATGTAAACAAATTATGCAAAGAAAAGAAGTAGATAAAGTGATGGAAAACGATAGGGTTTATGGAAGAAAACGACTAAACCTAGAAAAACCAGTAGGTACGCTACATGTACACTCTAGTGGTTGTTTTGTACATGTACACTCTAGATAGGGTGTGTTCTGAACTTCTTGTTCTTGTCATGAGCAGCTTATTTTCTTTCTCACGTTGCTACTCTTGTCTTGTTGTTGTTGTTCTTGTTGTTGTTGTTTTTTAATTCTTCATTCTCACAATGGCACCATCGCCAATAAGAGATCGTTGTTGTTGCTGCTGCTGCTGTCGCTGCTGCTGTTCTCGCTGTTGCTGCTATTGCTGTTGCTGTGTACAGTTGTATGGGGAGAATGCAACCATGCTTTCCACAACTGCTGCATGTCACTCTGGGTCGTCAAGAACAACCGCTGTCCTCTTTGCCAGTCGGATTGGGCCGTACAGCGCATTGGCCGGTAACCAGCCGTGCCTGTATGGGACCGGTGGTCCGATGCCCTTGCTATGCATGGGTGCTATGTGATACTACGTGATGTTGATGGAATATGCCGGGGCCTTCGACTCGTACAGTGCCACGTTCTGAGTACCGGCTGCAGCCTTTGCGGCGTAATCAACCTGTGTTTCACTCGAACACTGACAAAGCAACCAAAATACATTTGTACGTCCTGGACTGGTGGATGCTCTGTGTAGTATGACGGACAGTTGGACAGTGTGTGACATTGTCGGCACGGTGTACAGGCAACCAGCGTACTCGCTGTGTGTTTGCCCGGGTAAACCCCGTGTGTCCGTTACTACACTTACCCGTGCGTCCGTTGCTGTCTCTCCAACGCGTTTACACCTTCCGTCCCTTGAACATATCGCTGTGTATCCCTTCTGCTCCTGGTGATCATCAAAAATGGCTGTAGATACACTATACAGACATTAGATAGCTGTAGTGGTGGAACACTGTCTTTGAGCCGTATTGCAGCCTGTACGTGTCCACCAGACCTGCTAGGAATTCTCTTTCTTTTGAAAGTGTAGGTCGTGCTCATACTCTGCAGGTCCTCGCTACCTTCTCTCATGTAATAACGTTGCAGTGCATGCCCGTCAGGTCTAACGGAACTTACATCTTACTTCAGCTGTATTTTGTATTGATGCGGCAGTTTCTTACTTCCAGCATTACCGCCCGCAACACTCGTTGTGCGTACTTGCCAAGACATGTACTTCAAAGTATTGTGAAGTACACTTGCTGGTGCTAATGCCTGCTCCTTGTGATAGGAACAGAGACCCGGGCTGGTCACGTTTTTAACATTCCCAATCAATCGAAACATGTGAAATGAATATATTGTCCTCATTAGTTTGTCCTTCATCAGCACCAGAAAGTTTAATAGCTGGATGTTATTGTTTTTCTTGTAGTCGGGGCTGATCCCGTTTCTTATTCCGCTTTATATCATTTCAATTGCTGCAAATAAAGAGCTGGTTTTTTTGCCTGTGAATTGCAGTTTATTCGATGTCCTATTTTTTTTACCAATGTGTCTCTTTTGTTTGCTACATATACCCTGCCTGTCTGTTTTGCTTATAACTATAAGCCCACTTGCCGTTATAAGCCCACTTGTATGATGTTGTTGTTGTTGTTGCTACTGCTAGTTCACTGTCATTGAATGGCATTTTTACTGTAACACATAAAACATAATAAATTATGTCCACGCTCACTTTGCCCACCACTGTCAGTTTACGTTGTTTACATGCTGATCAGAGATACACACACACCACACACAGAACTGGCACTGGAGAGTTCACGCCCCACAAGAATAGTTCCAGAAAAGGTTGAGACTGAGCATAGCTGCACTGAATACAGTTGAAAAGCAACGCCGCAATCAGCAGCAGTAAACAGCAGCAACAACACATAATAATTAGTAAGCAGGACAAGTACTGTATGCCAGTGGCACAATCACATTGTATGTTAGCCAGGCTAGCAGAAAATCTGCTCGGCCACTTCTAAGTATAAAATTAGCTTAAAAATCGGTGTGAAGAGGTACAGAAATCGTATCTGGAAATAAATAGGTGATCACGGTTATAGTTCCATTGATGCCAGTAGGACAAGACACTCTGCAGGAATACAGCTGAGCAAGCTAGTGCAAGCTACAAGAGATAAGTACATGTAATTGTTACGCTCCAGATCACAGAATAAGTTACAGCTAAAGTATGCTATCACCATACTGACATAACTCAACGCCCGGTTGTTCAACATTGAACTGATTCAACGGCACAGACAGCAGTGCACATAGTGCTACTTAAACGGGGCAAGCACAGCACCACGCCGCAAGGCTGCTGCCTGCCCGTACATGCATGCAAATCAGATAGTAATGCTGCCGGCAGCTATAGAACAAAGAGTGGAGAATTTCAATGTCTGAAATCAACTGCAGCAATGGATGCAGCACGGCATAGATACAAATCACCTTGAAATGATAATAATTATTATATTAGCAGGCAACTCTAACAGTCCTTGCCTACGAGCAACTCTATATTTGTAGTACGACACGATAAACTAAAATCTCCGTCTGCTCAGCCACAGGCCCTCACCACCACATGGCATGGTGGGTAGAAATTTCTACAACTACAGCTAGCACCACTAGCTAGTGATGGTACATGAGAGAAAGACTACTGACAACAAGAAGATACATAGATCCTGTCCACACCACCTAATACTACACAGCAGCAGCAGTAGCAGCAGCAGCAGCAGCAGCAGCAGCAGCAGCAGGAGCAGCGGCTGCGGCAGCAGCAGAAACAGCAGCGGCGGCACTAAGCAGCAGAAACACTGTGATGACCAAAGTTACACAAGTGACACATGCACTCCTACAAGACGTACACTGCACAATGAGAGAATGGCAAGCCAGGTGGGCTCTGACGGACCACAGACCACAACGGCGGCGGCAGTACTGGGACACTGAACACTGCAGACAATACCAATGCTAGTGCTGTGCGGCTACATACTGCAGACTTCTACGGTGATAGGACTGGGATGGCCCACATGACGCTAACATCCAGCACACAGTGACTGTTAACAGACACTACCAGCAGCATTATCAAGCACAGTTGCACTGCCAGGATGCACGTGTGACAATCGACTTGTCCCAAAAGAATGATCCAGTTGGATATGCTTTCCAGTGAAACACCACACAGTGACGGACAAATACAAAATGCTGCCATGCGTACAAGTGCTGAAGAAATCACCGAGCTCGATGGTGCATCACATGAATACCACAGTTTACAACGCTGACTCGCGCACCATTGGCAACGGCACATAACCATTCTGCACCTTGCCCACAGCGCCATCAGGTTGAGAAGATGGCTCATATTGGCTGTCGATTGATGAGAGGCGTTGAGTAGTGTGGCTGTGAGTGTGCTGCCATAACTCACACCGATTCAGCTCGTCAGTCATATTGAACGACTTTGCAGCCATATTGTTAGTGCGTTGACGTACCCCGGTGCTCTCAGATGACCCCAAAGAGAGGGGTATGATTTGCTGAGAAAGGAGACCAAGACAAGGAGAGAGAGAGAGAGAGAGAGAGAGAGGTACAACATTAAATTGAGCGTACAAGAAGAGAGGGTTGTGTCAGCGTGCACACGTGCGCGCGTGTGTGTATGTGTGCGTGTGTGTATGTGTGCGTGTGTGTATGTGTGCGTGTGTGTATGTGTGCGTGTGTGTATGTGTGTGTGTACAGTGTACTAGCAGTACCATGTACAGTGCTGCTCAATGAAATCCAGTCGCGAGAGTCAAGTTGGTGCCGTGCACATTTTCGCAGTCCAGTGTTTGCAAGCCTAGGGCTGCGCAACGCCCGGCGCGTACTTGAGAAACTCGACTGGATTTCATCGAGCAGTACTGTATAAGAAGATAACTATACATTATTTTGATGTGTCTCCAGTGAGCATTCTTACCTCTGCATCTAGAACCTCACTACAATCACTGTCAGAGGGTGCTGGTGGTACACCGTGTTTCTTAGCATCCTGCTTCTTGCGCTTCAATAGTTCCGGCATCTTATCATCCAGGATCTCCAGTTCTTGGTCAGTGAATATGTACTTGAGGAAATGACGCACTACAACAAGTCCTAGTACCTGATAACACAATACACACACACACACCGTGTACACACACACACACACACCATGTACACACAGAATACACACGCATATGAACACACGAACACACATAAACACACACACACACACACACACACATACACACACACACACATACACATACACACATACACATACACACACACATACACACACACACACACACACACATACACACACCCATACACACATACACATACACACACACACATACACACATACACACATACACCGTTATAGAATGTCTTGATATACATACATTCAGGTACAGCGGAAAGTAAAGACAGAATGGAAAGTAAAGACAGAATCGGTGTTGTACTTGCTGAAACACAGACCTAATGAACCTGTCAGTGGCCTGCTCCAGTGGCCAGACCAGTCATGGCAGTTGGCACACACACACTACGACTGTACAGTACAATACACTCGGTGTTAATGAAAGGCTGCCATGCTGGACGAACAGTCATACCAGCTGAGCTGTACAACCTATCCACATGTTAGTGCTGTCGTATTGCATGCTGCATTCCTAATACATGTCCTCCGCTTAGTTGCTGTAGACGAGACTGGGTTGCTGGTGTGCTGGTGTGCTGGTGACAGTGGTCAACAAGAAAAGGAATGGCTGATGAAGGTCTGGTGTTACCAAATGTAACAAATGCCACTGTGCCAACAGCAGCAGGCCAGCCATACACCTGGGTTCGGCTTTCTCGGCTATAACGGTCAAGCTTTCCTTGCAGAATGCCTTGACTTGCCACTACATTGCAAGCACAGGTTACACTGTCTGTCACCATGATCATAAGTACACATGTGGACGGCAACAGCACCTGACTTACTGCGATGGGAAAGATCAAGCTGGCTGGCGTCAGCTTGATAATGCACAGGGCAACGAGAGAGAGCAGCTGGATGAGAGTGAAGGCGTGCATACGATACATGGGCACATGCCGCACGTAGTACATGTCAAACTGGAACTTCTGCGGCATGAACAGCAGCTGGAGTCTCTCAACGAACTGCACACCTCGCAAGGACGCATAGCCCATGAACAGGAAGAGGCCGTACAGGATTGGCAATGGCAGTTGCTGTGCACACCACCGCGGCAGCAGCAGCCAGTAAGAAAACACAGAGCAAACAAGAATACATCATAGGCAGGAAGAGGAATACGGTTCTGCACACCAAACGTGAACTTTTTCTTTTCTTTTCTTTTTTGCAACACAATTATTGTGAAGATACACAACTAGGAGAGACAAGAGGAAACCTTGGGAATAATCAACATAGCCTGTTACCGGTAAGTGTAAAGAATGTAATCATGCAGTAATCATGCAGTATCCACGTCCAGTATTTACACTAAGAAGAGTCTGCGGCAACCAAACTCGACTTCTTCTTGTCACCAGTGGGTCCATTGTTATCAGGCTTTATGCCTGTTTTGATTCCCACTTTGAATAAAGTATACAACAACATCATCATCTACGCAACCTGGATGCTTGCTGGTTTTTTTAAAGCTCTGCAGCATGCTAATCTACAGTGATTAGGACAGAGCACAGGGTATCACACACAGCATGCACACTTTGGCTACAGTACACATTGTCAGCAATGTCAACTCAAACATAAGCACCGACATCCCATAAATGGTAGAGCGAATAAGACTAGCAGTGTATGTGCAGGTGAGTTAATGAGTGTGTGTGGGGAGGGGGGGGGGGGGGGGGGAGGGGGGGGGGGGGGGCAAAACCTATAGGTACATGGCCACATGCTAAAAATCATGCACAGGCTGGAGTGGCAACGCAGGTAAACTCACCCTCAATGCCGGCGCCGCAAGTACAGACAAGCCATGCAGCAGGAAGACGCAGAAATTCGTCACACGCTGCTCCCTGTCATCATGTACAACACAGACACACAGACGCACAGACGCACAGACACACAGACACATGCGAGACACACAGACACACAGACACACAGACACATGCGCATGTACATGCACACATGTACGCACACACATACGCACACACGCACACACACACCACAGTCGTGAAGAGAACTTAGCAAAGGGAAATAATATGAGCAAAAAACCGAGAGCACCAACATACTCGTTTGCATACACGTTTAGCAAGAAGTCAAAGAAAACAGCTTGAAAGTGCACAACTCTAAAAGACGTCAGTTATAGTACACTAGATTACTGTTCAATAGGTATGGGTTATAGTGTGGGTGTTTGAAAAACGACTTTCTATTCTTATTTCCGATATTTCTTACACACGATAAATCAAGTGTGACATATCATATGCATGTGCGCAGAGACAGGAAGATCATCGTACATGCAAGGCAGTTTTACTGTGAATGTGGCTGGTCACAGTCACATAGGCTTACCATGCGGCTATGCAACATGAGTTACATGACCACAACAGTTGAATCTGCAGCACTACGACGCAACGCGAGGCAGATCAGAACTGCTTGGATAGATGTTATTACTACAGGCGATACACTTTGTACTAATCTGGCATGTTTCGCTACACAAAGTCCATTCTTAGGACCGATATATTCTACTGTACGATAAAATTGCTTGTAAGAATATATATGTGCACTTGAAACCCATGTTATGATTATGAAAACATGAGAGTTCACTCTTGTAGGCAGTATATTCTTGTACACAACCACACTATAACCGATACGCACTGTTACCTCGTCTGTACATGATTGTACATCAAAGTACACACTGTAGAATTGTGTGATGTTTGTGAATTCCACCTGCACAGATAATATGTGACAACAATACGTCTGCTGTGTAGGCAGTGACACAGACAATATTGCTCACACTGGCCATTCTTACCTAACACCAAGGAATTTAGGTTTCTCTCCCGGTGCTGTGTTTGTATCCATTACTGATAAACTGCCAACATGTGTGACAGAGCGTACGGTCGCAGCCACCAACCATGGCAAGCCAAACAGAGAGCAGAGCGCAAGGAGCACGGCCACAACCAGAAGGTCCAAGTGATAGCCAGGTCCTTTCTGAAAACACACAATAGACCAGTGGAACACAACACACACACACACACACACACACACACACACATACACACACACACCACACACACACACATGCGCACACACAAGCATGCACACATACACGCACACAGGCACACCCACCCACACATGCAAGCACACACGTACACGTACGCACACATTCAGATGAACCTCAACACACAACGTCCTCAGTCAGTTGAACATGACATCTCTAGCTGTACCAGAAAGCATTGTGGGCATAACAAAAATGATTACAAGAACCAGTAGAAACAGCTGCTAAGCAAAAGTGAAAATCCAGCATACCTTCAGTTTGTGCTCCCGCCGATTGACGAGTAGCGCTGTGATTTGCTGATCCATGAACACTAGAATACACGCTAAGATAGCTGGAATAGATGCAGCCAGTGGCAGCCACCAGTCAACACCCTTTATTGGCGAAATCACCCATCCTCGATCTGCACTTCTTGTTGGTTCAAAATTCTCGGGAACGTTGAGTTTGGGTGTCGGAACGCTGAATACAATGTCAAACACTAACATACAGATGATCGCGATGACCACGGCAAAGTCAGAGATGAGGCCTCGCACCTAAATCGGCACACAAGAAGAACAGTAGCAAGGAGAAAGGAGCATGAATGCTATAGTATGCAACAAACACAACAGAATGACAATTGGCAGAGCTACAGAGCACTAGTTCACTAGTTCACTACCAGTGTAATCAGTGCTACAGGGGTGACGGAACTGGTCAGGCCACGACCGGACCAGCTGTTTAGCCATCAGCACATGATTACTGCTGGGGAGGTGGTCATGTGATTACTGCTGGGGAGGTGGTCATGTGACCCTACCTTATTATACACAATGTATGAAAGACAATTATTGTGGGGCCGGACCAATCAAACTGCTTCTTCCGATCCTGTGCTATTGCAAGGTACATGCACAGGCTTTCCGGACACACAACTGCTAGCTAGTCTCAAACAATGGAAGTTTTTTTTCGAACTGCATGGCTGAAAGGCAACTTGAAAGAGACATTCCAAACCTAAAATTACAGCAGAGCAGTGGATTTACACTCCGCACATACGTGCACACACACACACACGCATGCACGCGCACACACACACGCGCACACACACACACACACACACACACACACACACACACACACGCATGCACGCACACACACAAACACACACATATGTGCGCACACAGCCACGCACGCACACACACGTGCAAGAAGCGAGAACAATACAATCGCTGAGGCTGCTACTGCTACTGCTGCTGCAGCACACACTTACACACTTACCCAAGTGGGGAAGTACGGAGAGTTGCGTAGCTTCTTCAGGAAATAGACGATAAAGAACGTTCCAAACAGCTCAATGAACGAGACAAAGTACACTGAACCAGTGATAGACTCTGGTGGACAGCCCCGACCCACAGCCGTTGCATTATAGACGTTAGTACACGTTGACCAGGTTAAGTCGGACGGCATTTGACCATAGACGGTATCGTTGGAAGCACAGGAGCAGTTGTATTCCAGCACGGTGGAGCGCAAGTGATACTCGCCGTGAGGAGGATACTTGCCCTGAACATACATCACAACACACACAGGGTCAGCAAAGTCATCACTGCACTGTTCCTTGTATCACTGCACTGCTCCTTATCAAAGAGCATGATCAGCATAATCTCCACAAGCACCAAGTTAATATCGCAGTACTAGAAGAATGGCAAGTAAAGTAGAGGCTTAACAGTTAACACCAACGAGTGGCCATGCTCATCACAGCTTTCGTGGGCATGGCTCAGCAATGCACGTGACCGTGATACAATGTGAAGTAGTACTGTAGTGTAGAGTCAGATGTGATATGGGTTAGCGCCCTACACATCCAGCATACAGCTCACAGTCTGGGGTGTTTCCAGGAGCGAGGAACAGTAAAGCTGGCACCGTACAGCACTTACAGCATACAAACTGCTACTCCTAGCCAACACACTTGCTGGTAACTGGGAATATCACTTTGTCAAAGCTACACACCTAGGACTAGGGTCTAGGGCATGGCCTGTACATTGGTGCTCTGTACATTGGTGCTCTGTACATTGGTGCTCTGTACATTGGTGCTCTGTACATTGGTGCTCTGTACATTGGTGCTCTGTACATTGGTGCTCTGTACATGGCAAGTGGAAAGCGTGCAGTGAACAAATCACACTCGTGAAGTACGCGCGGAGACATTACAGCCGCACACAAGTACCGGCTGACACACACACACACACACACACACACACACACACACACACACACACACACACACACACACACACACACACACATATACACACACACACACACACGTGCGCACACATACACACACACACACACACACACACACACACACACACATACACACACATACACAGACACACACACACACGTGCGCACACATACACACACATACACTTACACACACACTTACCTCTAACTGATAAAGCTTGGAAAACGCTTCGTAAATGAAAATGAGAGAAATCAGAGCTGAAAATGTTTCTTCGGTGAAGCGAGTGAAGAAACTTATCAAAGCGCTGGCATCTATAGCAACCATAATGAGTAGATACGCCGCAGTCCACATGCCTATCCAGAAGCGAAACTGCAGGAATGGCAGACCATTGCTCTCACTATGCAGAGCAACAACCAGGGAACAGAAAGAACAATTCTTCGGTTAGACTAGAGCGACGTAATCCACGATGCTTGGTGGACTTGTGTAATGCGCCCAGCCAGCCAGCCAGCCAGCCAGCCAGCCAGCCAGCCAGCCAGCCAACCAGCTTCCACCACCCACAGCGATCTACTCTGTACCACATGCGTAGTGTTCGAAAAAACAAATCAGTAGCACAACTGGAAAGACCAAGAGAAAGTGTTTCTGCGCTGGTAGCAACACTATGAGTAAAAAAGAGATCGGCAAGTGTACTGGGAACAAGGCATCATCGCTACCAAGATCAACAGCACAGAACTGCTAGAAGTTTACCTGAACGAAAAGACAATTCCTTCAAACACCAGCATGGGACCGGTCGCACCCAGGATAGTCAATGGCTGGCCAGAAAATAATGAATAACAAACTCCACAGAAGCAAGAGGCAACGATCATTTCCATGGTTCCCTGGGGAAACAAGCAGACAGAAGGGAAAAGATATCGAAAGCTGAGGAACTGGTTGACATTGGCATTCAGCTACACCAAAAGGCAACTAGGAAATGCACTGCAAATAAACTGATCAGAGACCCCCGAATTAGACACGTAGTGAAGAATATGAAGAAGAGGTTAGTGCGACTTCGGCGAGTGGAAGGTTCGATGGACTTCTCGTGTGCACTGGATGGCTGTCGTGAGTCAGTCAAGTGAGAAGTCAAGTCGGCAGGAATAGCGCAAGCTCCCACGTAGGGAGCAACACACAATTCCTTTCGTAAAGGATATGTTGCGAAATTCGATTAGAGAATTATTCGCGCACATTGTCGTACATGAATACGGTTCTTGTCCGATGTCTGATGTAATATTACGGTCTAGTGTACGTATGAGTGCGGTGTGATGTGTGGTGTGATGTGTGACGCTTTTTGCAACACCACCGGTTATTTGTGGCGAGTGCGTGAGTACGAGTAGTTGGCGGGCTCCCATCCATTCATCACTGTAGGGTCACAACACCCTATTCTAAATGTCACAGACGCGGTCACTACGCGAAGGTCTATTGCTCTCTGTACAGGCGCTCAGCTACTTGTCCAGGACCAGGAAATCTCAGCAATAACCTGGCAGAAAGAAGTGGCCATAATGTGGAAAACAAGAAAACTGCACACCCGTCGGACCACTCACCATGTATCCATTAGTACTATCCTCCAGTAATCCACCAAATGTCACAGTCGGCGCAATGCACGCAAAGTAGATGAAAATGATGGCAGGGATGGTTTGCACATGCACGGCATCCGTGAAGTCACTCCAGAAATACCACGGCCAGCGCCTCTTAATATCACCCACCAGACCACCAAAGCACCTGCACCGCACAAGGAGCACACACACGCACGCATACACACACGCACACACACACGCACACACACACGCACACACACACACACACACACACACAAACATACAGCAACACCACACACAACACACCGTACACAACGCTTTAAATAACCATGACTTGATTCGCGTCGAAAGAAAACAAGACGTTCTGTTCGTCTCGATCTTTCAGCATTCCTACCACAACGTCCAAACAGAGCTAAGCATTGTCTAGTCACATGCAGAGGATTCAGAATAATTATACAGAGGATTCGTTATAACTTTCAAAACACTGAGTTTTTCATGCAACTCAGAATAACAGAGAAATTCACTATCCAATATTGGGAAAATAAGATGAAAACAGCATGCCACTTTCAGAGCACAATGGCAACTCGGTGTACATATGTACTCGTCTAGCAAGATTGAAAGTTGCATATGACACATGCATAACTATACATGTACAAACCAAAGTAAAGGGAACACAGATGGGGACGCTTAGGACATACCGTCTAGTTCGCTTCAGGCCAGCATGATGAAGGTCCTTTCCTGGGTCTTCGTCTTCGCCTTCAGCGCAGTTGTTGCTACCCCCGTTGCCGCCATGCCCCTTCTGGCGTTTCTCCCTCGAGGGAGCTGGAGCGCGAGCGTTGGCCATGAGGCGCTCGGCGGCTTTGCGAGGACTTGCCGGTGGTGCAAGGCGAATGGTTGGGTCCCACTCACCCGGTGGAAGGACAACAACCTGGACAATGCCAAGAACAGAACACACATATGAGAAGAGAACAGATTTTATGTTCCCCTTTCACTTTTCTTTCTTCCCTCTACTATCGTCATGAGAGAGAGAGAGAGAGCGGGGGGGGGGGGGGGGGGGAGGAGAGGAGAGGAAAGGAGAGAGAGAGAGAGAGAAGAGAGGAGAGAGAGAGGAGAGAGAGAGAGAGGAGAGAGAGAGTCAACACAATAGCAATCGAAGATACATGTACTACCACGGTGTGGAATGGCAGACACCTATTCTTATGCTGGCATAAACATGTCTTTATATACCGCAACACCCGCAATAAGACCCTGGGCGGAAACGTCAGTGAAGGACCAGAACACGGGTGTCAATTTGGGCCAGGGTGCTATTTCGGATAATGAAATAAGACTTATTTTGAAGATTTTCACCTCACGCCGTACTACAACGTGTACGTACAAGGTTATCACAGTGTCCTAGTAGTACAGTGTCCTAGTAGTACAGTAGTACAGTACTAAGGCATACTACAGTACTGTAGATGATGCATGTAGAGATGTACAGCCACCACACTGTGTACTGGGATGCATGTAGAGATGTACAGCCACCACACTGTGTACTGGGATGCATGTAGAGATGTACAGCCACCACACTGTGTACTGGGATGCATGTAGAGATGTACAGCCACCACACTGTGTACTGGGATGCATGTAGAGATGTACAGCCACCACACTGTGTACTGGGATGCATGTAGAGATGTACAGCCACCACACTGTGTACTGGGATGCATGTAGAGATGTACAGCCACCACACTGTGTACTGGGATGCATGTAGAGATGTACAGCCACCACACTGTGTACTGGGATGCATGTAGAGATGTACAGCCACCACACTGTGTACTGGGATGCATGTAGAGATGTACAGCCACCACACTGTGTACTGGGATGCATGTAGAGATGTACAGCCACCACACTGTGTACTGGGATGCATGTAGAGATGTACAGCCACCACACTGTGTACTGGGATGCATGTAGAGATGTACAGCCACCACACTGTGTACTGGGATGCATGTAGAGATGTACAGCCACCACACTGTGTACTGGGATGCATGTAGAGATGTACAGCCACCACACTGTGTACTGGGATGCATGTAGAGATGTACAGCCACCACACTGTGTACTGGGATGCATGTAGAGATGTACAGCCACCACACTGTGTACTGGGATGCATGTAGAGATGTACAGCCACCACACTGTGTACTGGGATGCATGTAGAGATGTACAGCCACCACACTGTGTACTGGGATGCATGTAGAGATGTACAGCCACCACACTGTGTACTGGGATGCATGTAGAGATGTACAGCCACCACACTGTGTACTGGGATGCATGTAGAGATGTACAGCCACCACACTGTGTACTGGGATGCATGTAGAGATGTACAGCCACTACACTGTGTACTGGGATGCATGTAGAGATGTACAGCCACCACACTGTGTACTGGGATGCATGTAGAGATGTACAGCCACTACACTGTGTACTGGGATGCATGTAGAGATGTACAGCCACCACACTGTGTACTGGGATGCATGTAGAGATGTACAGCCACCACACTGTGTACTGGGATGCATGTAGAGATGTACAGCCACTACACTGTGTACTGGGATGCATGTAGAGATGTACAGCCACCACACTGTGTACTGGGATGCATGTAGAGATGTACAGCCACCACACTGTGTACTGGGATGCATGTAGAGATGTACAGCCACCACACTGTGTACTGGGATGCATGTAGAGATGTACAGCCACCACACTGTGTACTGGGATGCATGTAGAGATGTACAGCCACCACACTGTGTACTGGGATGCATGTAGAGATGTACAGCCACTACACTGTGTACTGGGATGCATGTAGAGATGTACAGCCACCACACTGTGTACTGGGATGCATGTAGAGATGTACAGCCACCACACTGTGTACTGGGATGCATGTAGAGATGTACAGCCACCACACTGTGTACTGGGATGCATGTAGAGATGTACAGCCACCACACTGTGTACTGGGATGCATGTAGAGATGTACAGCCACCACACTGTGTACTGGGATGCATGTAGAGATGTACAGCCACCACACTGTGTACTGGGATGCATGTAGAGATGTACAGCCACCACACTGTGTACTGGGATGCATGTAGAGATGTACAGCCACCACACTGTGTACTGGGATGCATGTAGAGATGTACAGCCACCACACTGTGTACTGGGATGCATGTAGAGATGTACAGCCACTACACTGTGTACTGGGACGGTGCTTTCGCCCATGGGCGTTTACACGGAGGTGGGCGGGAAAAATGGGACAAGAGTGTTGATACCCGCGGCACCTGGGCATGTGCACGGGTAGGGGGCGTTATTGGGTGGTGGCGTTGATACGGGTTTCTATGATATACAAGCAAGCAACAAAAACAACCAGAGCGGGAGCGCACAAAGAAAAGTATGCCATACCTGATCAAGGAATTCATCCACACCAGCCAGCAGATCAGCACGGCAAGTTGCTCGATAGGCTACGTTGTGAAAGATCGGATCGGACATCAGTGTCGAAATGGAGCGGCCAATCTCGTGATAGCGTTCCTCCTCGCCTTTCGGGCCCAGCAAGATGAAGAGGAAGCGAGTAGGCAACGGCACCTCGGTCAGATCACCCAAAACAACCGACTCCGCTAAGCGGACAAAGGCGATCAGTGGCCGGGTCAGGAAGTCAACTTGTCCCACAAGCACATTGGATGCCTCAGAATTGGGAGGCAATTTTTTCATGAAGTGAGATTCCTACACACGCCAAAGAAGAACAGTGCAAGAACACCCAAGAAGAACAGTGCAAGAAGACCTAGTCAGACTACCTGCTGCATAAGTACATGAATATTGCATGGCCAGCGATCAATCCTCCCCAAGTCCCCATACGTTTCACCGTAAACTAGATAAGAAACACATGTTTGATGAAGGCATGTTAGTGACTACCCATCAGCAACGGAGTATAAAAAGTTAGGAGAAACGGACATACAGTAAACCTCATGAATATCAACCTTGGGTGCAACAACAACTCATGAACAACAACACAATCTTCAAACCTAGTGACCATTTGACAGCATACTTTCAACCTCACCAACAACAACACTTTCCTTATGCACGAAGACAGACAGTTCCGTAACAACAACACTTACTGCTGGAGCTGGCTTGCGTACAGTGGATGGACTGCTGCCATCCGGCAATGAGTTCTCCCGTAGCTGGCTGTGATCAGGTGCCAAGAGCCCATCCACAGCCGCTGCCGTCGGAACACTGCTTGTTTTACGATGACCGTCTTCACTGGTGTTGCGTCGTAGCAGCTTTGGGCGCTGGGAAGACTGGTTTTGATGAGTGTGTCGACAGAGAAGAGCTGTGCGTACCAAGTGTCGGTTGGCCTCCTCCAACTGAGTGGTTGCAACGAGATCATCCAATACTAAGTCTAAATACAAACAGAGTGCAGATATACACGTACACACAAGGTTTCAAGTCCAAGCTTTTACAGTGTACATTGAAAAATGTGACGATTTATAAAGAATTCAAGGCGGAGGAGAAGAGTCAAGCCTGACTCATAAAATAGTGCCATGCACATCCGAACTATGCCAGGAACTCAGTGCTCGTAAAAAGGATTTTGCCCACGGCGACTGACAGTGTCGGACGAGAGGAAATATTAATTGCAAACATGCATCCCGTTCTCAGAATCAGTTCGGAAGCTCTAAATGCCAAAGTGAACGCGATTACCCGGAGAAGCATTTTCCAGCGGTGACTTACGCCTGGCTCTGGGAATATTGTCATGTGCAACCAAAACTACATCAGGTTTCCAAAACCTTTCTCCACTTTCACTTTCTTTCTTGCTCTGTTTGTGTTTATATCTATAACTCTGCAGTGTGGAGTATGCAGATGAAATGTGGGTAATGCAGACAATAGATAATGTCCTGGGCCCGTGAACAAAGGTGTCAGGATATGCTAGCAATAAGCATCCGCTGTACTGATTTTGAGAGAGAGAGAGAGAGAGAGAGAGAGAGAGAGAGAGAGAGAGAGGGAGAGAGAGAGAGGGAGAGAGAGAGAGGGAGAGAGAGAGAGAGAGAGAGAGAGAGAGAGAGAGAGAGAGAGAGAGAGAGAGAGAGAGAGAGAGAGAGAGAGAGAGAGAGAGAGAGAGAGAGAGAGAGAGAGAGAGAGAGAGGAATATTTAACATCAGAGCACAGGGAACTTGGGTTAGATTCCTCCTTTGTGGTGGATAAGTCACAACCGGGGAAAAAAACCCTGACGTACATCATACCATTACCTGCCAACCTTTGCAAACCTGAGATGGGGACAATGACATACTATAGGTATGAAAATGGATACAAATGTAGCTGTGATGCATACAACTAATGCATTTTGGGTGCCTATTACCACCCTCGATATCGGGACGGTCCCGGCCAAATCGGGATGGTTGGTATGTATTGTACTATAGTGCGTGCATCGACTTACCAGCAATGGCTGTCAAATCAGAAGCATTCATATTCAAGAGCACGGTTCCTTGAAGAATACAGCTCCTCAGCTCAAAGAGAGAGTGTAGCGAGAGCGCTGCAACGTGCGGCTTGCTCCACTTCTGCCCACCCCACTCAACATCTTCCTCGTACTTCACCCAGCGGGCCGTTTCTTTCCACTCCATCACGCCATCCTCGACTTGTAATTCTTCCAGTTCGGTGAACAACTAGACGTTAGAGATGAAGAGAGACACACATGGGAACCACTACATGACGATGAAAACAAGGTACTTCGAAGTACTGTAAAGTCAACAAATATTCGGCGTTTATTTTCGGCTATTTTCGGCCTGGTCATGTTTGGCCGAAAATTAAAATTTGTTTTGCAAGGTTCAGTGCGACACTGTATACAGACGGCAGCAGTACAGGCTGAAAATTTGATGCTGCCGAAATGGGGTTTAGCCCTGGGAGGCCGACATTTGAATGGGGCGAAAAATTGTAGACTTACAGTATCCACAATCCACATTGGAAAGGAGATATTTTGTACTCCCCACACTCCCCACACTGGAGCTGGCGCTATTCCGCCAACTTGACTTGCCACTTGACTGACTCACTAGTACTCACTATTTCGTGATATTTTGTACTGTTCATTTAATAAAAGTTCATGGACTCTACGCAACTGCACGGGCAGAATCAGCTGTGAACAATACAGGAAAGGATGATGCGAAACATCTGATAATAGCAAAGACGGACCCACGTTATTATGTATGCAATAAATGATCCCCGGCAAATACTTTTGTCCACTGCTGTAGACAGGCAGTGCATAAATCCTTACCTCATGTGTTTCAATTTCATGTCCATTCACGGTCAGATCCTCAGCAAGTAGGGTTCTGACCCTGTCCCCCGGACCTGCCATCATTGCACAACAAAAGGGTGCACACACACACACACACACACACACACACACACACACGCACACGCGCGCGTACACACGTACACACACGCGTACACACGTACACACACACATGCACGCACGCACGCACACACACACAACAAAAACACACACGTGATAACACACACTACACTATAGTGACATGCAGGTGTGCAGTAGAGACCAGCTTGAGTATGGCTCGGTAATGATGTCATCAAGCAATTTGCCAGGACAGCAAGTCAACAACCCATCCAAGCTGCACCTTCTGGGTTTTATGTATGTAACGCTACTTGTTTACCCTGAGGTTACACCATTGTTTTAAGTAAGAAATCTACCGCTGACAGCTCTTGCCTGACGCAGACTGTCTCTATGCCATGTGCTGATCGAAACCTGTTCTCGTGGATGGTAGTTCTTGCACAAGCAAGGTAGCTTGGTATAAGAGAGGTGTTGAGCTATCCTATTCGAGTATCAGTCCAATGCCATGGCCTCTTGGCACCCAAGATTGGACTCCCATGAAAACCTCAAATGCGTCATCGCTCAAGTACATCATCGAGCAGCAAACCAATAGTACAGGCACACAAACTATAGTACAGGCACACAAACTGCCTCAGTCTGCACTGCTAGTAGTAGATGCGATGGCCTTCTTGCAAACTTTGAAGCATGCCAAGCATCCCGTCCACCTTCTCTGAGCTGGCTGAGCTTGTATTCAAGTACCTTGTGTCAAACCTATCAAAGCACCAACGTATCGACTTCGTAGCAGGCACATATCCAGAGAGTTCGATCAAGAATACCGAGCGTGGGAGGAAGCCAGCAACCTTGGTGAGATGTGATTACGGATTACCAGCGGTGGTAACAAGAAACACCTCGCCAATGGTCAAAGTTTCTATCAGTGGGCACAAACAAGATTGCCTTGATGGCATTTCTTTGCCAGGAATGGTGCTGCGGTTGGCCAGCTTCTGTTCCGGACAGGTTAGAGCCATTTAACCGCATCTGGAGTGACTTCAGCATAGAAGTTGTATTTCTCGCGAAATATTTTCAGTTGCAAATATGGCATCTGGTGTGTTCTTTATTGTCGCTTCTTTTCCTGACTTCTTCAGTCAGTTTTGAGTCTCACCAGTGTCCCTGCCCTCCCACCCTTCATTTCTATGCATATTATCATTCACTGTTTGCCGTGATGTGCTTGCCATGCCTACATGATGCCTAATCGCCATTGGGGGATATACACCCGTTTTTTCCCTCACAAATGCGTCCGTCGGCGAGGGTTTTTTCCCGGCTGGCTCGGTCCAGGAAAATTAATCTGACGGTCCCAAGTGGTTCTGCATCATGGCCTATTTCTGCTATCCACTGGCACGCCTATTCTATCGGAGACACTCTGTTCTCAGTCCTTGCTTCCATACCTCACTCGTTATCCAGTTCACATCTGGCTGCGGCCAACTACCCTTCACTTTGTGTGTTGTCGCTATTGCTGTCTATGTCTCTGTGTAAGCCAGTATATGTGGAGCGAGAACATGGTTGTTTGTTGTGGGGTTACCGTGTGATTATCCCAGTACATTTTCGGCAGCATTTGCTAGAGGAACTGCATTCTTCGCATGCTGGTGTATCTCGTATGAAGAGTGTGGCCCAAAGCTTTTTCTGGTGGCCAGGTTTAGATGCCGATATTGAAAGGTTAGCCGCTGATTGCAGTCTTTGCCAAGAAAGTTCGAATCTGCCTCGCAAAGACTCTGTTCATCATTGGGCGTATCCCAATGCCGCATTCGAGCGTGTTGCAGAGTTTGAGTCACAGCAGTTCCTTGTCCTAGTCGATGCATATTCCAAGTGGATTGATGTGTATGAGCTTGGCTCGTCCACTACTACTACTAAGACAGTGAACTGTTTATTACGCTGTATCAGTACGTTTGGTATCCCTGGAGTGCTAGTGTCCGACAACGGTCCGCAATTTGCCTCTGGAGAATTTGCTGCTTTCTGTGCGCAGAATTGAATTAAGCACCATTGCACACCGCCATATCATCCCGCTAGCCATGGCCAGTGGGAGCGGATGATACAAGAACTGAAGAAGGCCTTGCAAGCAAGACCTCGCCATGGGTCTGTTTGTATGCAATTGTCTCGGTTTCTCTTCGACTACAGGACCACACTTCACATTGCTGCCAAACAGAGTCCAGCGTGTATTCGGCTGAAGAAAGCTCCGACAACACGTTTAGCACTGCTGCAACCGAGTTTCACCGCGTCCATGCAGCAAGCCCATGAACTGGACAGCACAGCGGCTCGTGAGTTCTCAGTAAATACACCAGTGAGGGTGTATAATGCGCGTCCAGGTGCCAAACCCAAATGCCGGGCTAGAGGGTAGCATAGCAAAAAAATAGCAACCTATTCAGTACTTTGACCTATTCTGCTTGGCGGGAGGAGTCATCCGAAAAGTATATTGATCATTTAAAGCACAAGACAGTTGAGTCCGTTAGTCTGTTGTCGGAGTCTGACGTAATTCCAGCGGTGTCTTCGCTAAACGTCACTCCTGCAGTAGCTCCAGCAACTCCGACTCCCGAGTTACCAGTTTCACCGCCGACTCAGTCATCTACTGTCACGGATATAGCAGCCACTACAACAGCCATTCTCGCTATTCCTACTTTCTAGAACTCCTACCACTGCTACTCCTAGTGTGTCTGATACAGTGCCAGTCGCTACTGTAAGACAATGTCATGTAAATATAACGAGGAAGTACATCTAACGTCTTAACAAGTTACATTTCTTCGTTATAATAAGTTCTGTTGAGGCTGTAATGCCTGAAATGTGTTATGTGTGGATACGCCTGAAGACTGCAAGATCGTTCACGTATCTTCTCGCTAACCTATGAATTTTTGGACATCGTTAAATTTGCAACTCGTTATAATAACATGTCGTACAGTACTCCTACTAGTATGCCTGATGTGTCCGTCTCTCTTTCGCCAACTCCAGTGTCACCGTGCTATCCATGAAGAGTGTGCCGTGCCCCTGATCGTTTGAATTTGTAAGTACCGAGTGACTATTTTAGCATTAGTATTGAGTGACTCGCCTAGCAATTCTTACATTGCCGTAGCGTACCCCATTTGCTATTCATCTCTGATAGTATTGTGTCATAGTTAGTCTGATATAAGGACTTACACTATTGCTATTCTGACGACCTACTGCCGTGGACATGGAAATCCGGTCGCACGTCTAGCGGCCCCAGGGCGCTGGCCATGCAGCCGTAGGTAAGTAGTACACGCATGATTATGCGCTGATGGTCGCATCGGATCAACATGATCGTGCACTGCATGCAACGTTCTATACGCGCTGAGGGCGCCGGCCCCAGTCAATCGACTGGATTTACATGTCCACGACAGTACATTTACTTTGAAGTACTACAAGTATGATGCGTGTATGACAAATTATGACGAAGGTTGCATCATTCTCTTACGTTCTCGGTTCTCTATTACGATGTCTTACCTCATTATGAGTCAGTCCTCCTTTGCACTATGGCTGCCTAGCTGACGTGTTATCTCACGTGTTATAATAGGTTGATTCAAATGGCGGTAAGACTCACAAGAGTAGTGAACATGACTCCACTGTCTACTTGGTCTACAACGACAGCGGACTAGCCAAATTCTTTAGGATTTTTTGGTATAGAATATTCGATATTCGATTCGTTTAGAAAGATATTCAATTCGTTCCGATTTAGAATATTCGTTTCACCCTTAGTAAATACGCACCTGGCAATATGGCGGTAAATACACGTCTGCGCACACATGCTCTCTAGGCTGCAAGGCTGTTAAAATTGGGGTGCACAATTCATGGGAACAAAAATGTGTCACTTATCTCATAGACCAAAACACAAATCTAACCTTGTACTGGCTTTCCATCAGAATTGAACGATGGAGTAAGTGGAGCGGCACTGCCATCAGAGCGATGACGGTGTTTGTGGTGATGATGATGGTGGTGGTGTCCATTGTGGTGATGGCTACGCTCACCGCGGTGGTGGCTACGAGAATGATGCCGTCGGTGGTGATGATGGTGATGTCGACCGCTGCCGTCACCTGACCCCGGTGTCTCATCCAAGCCGTTCATGCTCATGTGAAGTCCAACGTAGACATTGCGCCGGTGGTGGTCTAGTGCAGCGAGCACAACAACAACGACAACAGCAGCGGCACCAATGTACACATACAACGGTGTGAGAAACAGTTCTCTGCGCGATACGAGTTTCCTGCATAAGCGTACATGTACACCTACCTGCATGAATAAGTTATGTATCTGGAACATACAGTTCACACAGGCAAAGACTGCATCCCTATAAGCACACTGTGGCATGCAGGAGAGCCTCCTGCAATCATCTATCCAAAGAGCATGGTGTGGCCAGGGCCTTCGGGTTCGTGTAGAAAGCCACACACACTGCTCAGAAGAACAGCATTACACACTGGTATTGCTTCAAAATACTGCACAAGTACAAACTTTCATTTGGTAGCAACATTTCTTAATTTCGGTAGGTGAGAGAAGCCACAGAAAGAGAGTCTTGTTCGTAACTTAATGTTGAGCAGGGGACCACTTTGTGCACTCACATGAAGTCTCTAGCTCCATTGCAACGAGTTTCTCTAAGCTTGAAAACACCATATAGATGAAGCTGCAAAGATCCTCAAGCCTCCTACACTACAGCCTTCTACACTACAGACTTGAAGACACGTTCCACAGGCTCTCAGCTACACGGACTAAAACAATTCCAATAGTTTGCTTGTTGGGCAGCATCAGGGTATTTTAATAAAATAAGGAAGCGGAGGCAAACACTAAAATATAAATGCTTGACGAACATTCTAGAATTCACACCTCAAGTGCGTGCGGTTGGCCACTAACCTATACCAGTCTTCTGAAAGCAGTTCTACAATACTGTGAACTCACACGTAGCCACATGTCACAAGTGAGGTGACCAAGAGAAAACTATGACAGTACATTCACGAACAACATCACGTGTCACACTGGAAGATATATGTGCTGGAAGGTGTCCGAAAAGTGCCCAGTGTGCTGTATCAGGTGGTGAAGTCAGGTGGTAATGTTGATACCTGTCGATATCAGGTGAAAATACAGACACTTTCCTACAAATATTATCACTTAGACGTAACCTGTCATTGAAGTTAAGCAGGGGCGTCGGAAGGTATTTTTGTGTGGTACGGTCAGCAATCTGAAGTACAATTTACTTGTGGGGGAGGGATGGCTGAGTCGAAAATTTTGGTACTTTAGAGCCCAAATCGGTGCAATTTATTGATTCACGGGGTACTTGGGGCAAATAGTGGTACGGTCAATACCGTAGTGGCCGTACCGTGTGCGACGCCCCTGTAAGCCTTACGCTTCTGAATCTTGATGGCTTCAAGGAATCTCCATGATGGTAGCGAAAAGAATCTTTGACCAGCGGAATGGCTTATAATTATACACTCAGCTTATACTCCAGAGGAACATGCCTGGGAAATTCTGCTTCATTTTCTCATTCATCTGGCTTGTTCAAGATGTTCAAGATAAAAACAGCTACAAAGGAAGCATGACTCTTGCAATACAGACCTTGCACTCATGAGCGTCATAAGTACACTCGTACCCCGGTTATCCGGACGCCAAAGTTACGCGCACGTCGGTCTACCGGGCACCCTTTGGGCGAGTTTCAGTGGAAATATTACAACTCCACAGTCACTTTTTGTGGAAAAAATCTATGACCGCCCGGATAAACGAGGCAGGCCCCGGAGTGTGACTCATACCTCATAAGTGGACAGGCACACTAGGCTGTTGTTCATACTAACTCCTCTGTGTGTGTGTGTGTGTGTGTGTGTGTGTGTGTGTGTGTGTGTGTGTGTGTGTGTGTGTGCAATTCATCAGCCTTGCAAGCTGTTGAATGGTGTAATCCCAGCACAAGTTGCTATGTCTAACATAGCTGTTCGCTATCATCGCTTCCGCGATGGGCACGTCTGAGGTGAGGTGAGATGTGTGTGTGTGTGAGCACAAGCTGCTATGGCTAATTCTGCTGTAGCATCGCTATCATCGCCTTTGGCGATGGGCGTCCAATGGTCCAATGGTGTGTGCGTGTGTGCGCGCGTGTGTGTTTGTGTATGCGTATGCGCGCATAAGGCTAGACGCACACACATAGACTCAGATAAACGGGCAGCCCCCCTTATCTGGACACGATCCCTATCATGACTATGTGCCCATGCACTTGGGTCTTGAGAACACAGTGTACATAATAAAGAGGTCAGCGTCTACTCGTCTGTAGCTAGCTGTGACCGAATGTGCGGGTATGAGCACAGTAACGTATGAAGAAATAAAAAATAAATAAAAACAGACAAAACGAGCAGGATACTAGCAGTGGTATGGTAGTACATGTAGGCCAACACTTACCAGCAAAGTCTCTTTCGTCGACAGTGGAAAATCTCCGATGATCCCTATCTGCTATGTCTTGAACCGGCGAAATGTCCAGGCCAGGAGTTATTGCTGCTGGCTCGTTGCCGCGAGGAAAGGACTTCATAGGCGTAGAGAACGCTAGGGACATACTATTCTGCTCAGGCATCTTGCCAGATCCAGCATCAGCTACACAACAGCAAGAACTGGAAATGGCTTGATACGAGCAGTTACGAAACGGTGACAATCGAGCTGCACTCGGAACAGTCGGAGGATGTCTCGGCTATCGCACGACTATGCCAGAGCACTACAACCAGCATTGAATGGGAAATGGACAGAATGACAAAATTGTGCCTTTTGACACTTTCACTGGTTGTGCCGGACGTATTTTACTAGAACAACGTGGCGCTGCAAAACAGGCAAAAGTACAATAGGTGAAAAACAACGACAGGCTCACGGAGGGACTTAGAAATTACAACTGTTTTAGCCACTAGTGCAGTGGAGTGGGCGATGCTCGATCAAAACCCAAGTCAAGTGTGTTTATCCAGTGCCCTCACAAAATAAACAGCACAACCATACAAACTCTTCTTTGTCGTTGAAGCTGTGCATACACTGATACAGTGTTGAAGTGCATGACCAGGTGACTTTTTGATCGTTTGGAGCATATCCGGAGTGATGACCATGATGACTGAGCACGACCTATCTTACAGTCTTAGTAGCTATTAGTATTAAAGCTAGCGCTAGCTCATGATATGAGCTCAGCAAGCAGAGTCCCACTCCACGCTCACGTCACGTGTGACCATGGTGACCTTTACTCTTTACAAGTACATACAGTACCCAGGCCAGGCAGTACACAAATGTACAAGTCAATGGCAGATGACCGAGTCTGATCTGATAACCCTGGACCTGGTTCAGAACCAGCCAGTGTCCTCCACCTCCTTGTTGAAGTAACTTAGTTGTACGTCGCGTAATTGTTTCATGCTGTCAATCTAACATGTACATGTCATAATAATTTTAATAGGAGCTGTCCGTAAATACATATCGATATTTTTTTCAAGACGATAATAATTGTTCATCTCTCCCTCCCCCCTCAATAGGAACAATTACATACACATGTTTATGCAGAGGATCGATATTTTTTTAATGAAGTGCAATCTCCTCATGAAACGTGACCAGCTGCAACTCTAAATTCACCATACACCTAGGTTTATGTTGCCACGGTCGCACAACCTTGCCGTGGCTATGTTCGTGTGTTCACGAGGTTGACTTTCACTTTGTGTAGGTCATAAACTACATGTTTGCATAGTACCCGTCCATAGATAGAGTTCGATATTTTTTTGACAAAGACGAGACGAACAGGGCCCAAACCCCCTCCCCCCCCCCCCCCCCCAACGAACGAATATCTTCTCTAAAAAAATATCGATATTTGTGGACGACCCCTTAGTAACAATAATATGACGGAGTCTGTGGATCTACTGTAGTGCAGTCTTGCTCATACTCAGAGTCATACCGGTAGTCGGCACGATACATACCGTATTATCTCCAATATAAGCACGGTCCTTTATTTTTTCAATGTACCTCCGCCCTGTGCTATTAATGGAGACTGTTCCATTATTTCAGGGTTTTTTCGCCGGTACAGATAATGATTTTACACAGTGTGCTTATAATGGAGACTGAGCACTTTACTTTTTGAATGCCGCCCCAAGGTGTTCTATTATTGGAGCCTGTGCTTATATTATAATTACGGTACACCTGATACAGTATACGGTGTATGTAGTCAGTGTATGATCGTAGACCTGGACCATGCCCATGTGTAGTGTAGCGCGCGTTTGTGTGCTTTGACAGTCATGTGCTTGGGCAGAAAATACTGAGGACCAGGTCAATATAGGAAATAAAAGCCGAGTAAAAGGCTGAGGCGAAGCCGAGGTCTTTTACGAGGTCTTTTATTTCCTATACTGACCAAGTACGAAGTCAATATTAGATTTACCACGACTGACCAAAGCATGTGTTCAATCGCTAAAAAGGAGTCAAATATAAGCGATCAATATAGCCCTAAGGAGTCAAATATGCAGGAATATTTGACTGCTTAGGTATGGCAAAAATCTATGTGAGTCAATACTAAGGGAGTGATAAAATGAATTATAATAACAGTCAGTAGCCGCCTTTGGATCTACATGACATTGTAACATCATTATTTTTATTTGTACAGCCAGGTATGTACTAGTAGTAGTAGTAGTAGTAGTAGTAGTACCAACATTGCCCCATGATATTGAATTCTTGAGTTTTTGGACATTGTATTGCATTGCTGCTCCATCTACATGGCTGTATTTGTGTTTCACATCTCCATTTCAAGTTTCCTAATAAAGATTGTGTCAAGTAGTAGTAGTAGTAGTAGTAGTAGTAGTAGTAGTAGTAGTAGTAGTAGTAGTAGTAGTAGTAGTAGTAGTAGTAGTAGTAGTAGTCACATCCTTTATTGCTGAACCCACAAATAATCGTGATACAAATTGTAAACCATCCGAGGAAGAAGAGAAAGCCATTAAAAATAAAAAATAAAGTAGTAGTAAACAGTTTCCTCTGAGACAAAAATGCGATAATACTCATAAAAAGGACACACTTCAGGCTCATTACAAACATCTTGAAAGTTTTCGTCTTCACAAGTATACTTTCAAGCCTTCTCATCAGGTGAAATACACCTTTCTTTTTGCGCTGTTTTACCACCTTCTTACTGTATTTAATCCACTGTTCCTGTTCCTTTTCCCTTGCCTGTATTTCACCTGATGAGAAGGCTTGAAAGTATACTTGTGAAGACGAAAACTTTCAAGATGTTTGTAATGAGCCTGAAGTGTGTCCTTTTTATGAGTATTAAAGTAGTAGTAGTAGTAGTAGTAGTAGTAGTAGTAGTAGTAGTAGTAGTAGTAGTAGTAGTAGTAGTAGCAGTAGCAGTAGCAGTAGCAGTAGCAGTAGCAGTAGCAGCAGTAGCAGTAGCAGTAGCAGTAGCAGCAGCAGCAGCAGCAGCAGCAGCAGCAGCAGCAGCAGCAGCAGCAGTAGCAGCAGCAGCAGTAGTAGTAGTAGTAGCAGTAGTAGTAGTAGTACATGTATGGGGGATATGGCTGGCTGTATGCAGCTCTGCACTACCAGCTACAGCCTACCATGGACTACAGACTGTCCCAGACGACATGTACCGTTTGCAGTCACCTGTACTCCGTAGCCTACACGACACTCACACATTGACTGCATGTGCAGGATAAGTTGATAACAGACAATTGCAGTCAGTAGTCATTGTAGATTCTACAGCGTGTAGATTCTACAGCACATGCCGCCAAGACTTACTGGGTATGACGGTGACAACATGTTACAAAACGGATGACCAACTGTAAGGTGCAGTGTTCCTGTCAGCTTTCTGACTGCAGCCGGCAGACACCAGTTTGCGACACACGCGTGCACACGTACACACACGCACACACACACACACACACACACACACACACACTCAGACATGCCCATCGTGGAAGCGATGATAGCAAACAGCTATGTTACACATAGCAACTTGTGCCGGGATTACACACACACAAACACACACACACACATATATGAACACACATGCACACACACACACACACACACACACACACACACACACACACAATCACACATGCGCACACACACACACACACACACGCATGTGCACACACACGTACCCACACGCACGTGTCAACACCACTGCCAACACCCCCCCCCCCCCCCAAAGGGTGAGAACTGGATGTCTAGATGCAGTCATGCCAGAATTTCACCAGCATACTGAACAGTGAGCACTTTCTCCCAACAGTGGACAGGTCATCGGTGATGACAGTTTGACTGTTCAGCAGCTGATGAGCTGAGAGAAGGGCATCATGCCGTGATTCATGGACCGAATTTGGCAAACAAGCGCATACAAGACTTCCATGAAAAAATATACAACCACCACACACACACCACCACCACCACCACCACCACCACACACACACACACCACCACCACACACACACATCCAATCTGCCGCTACCTTATCATGTTCTCTAGGCAATTTACAGTAGAGAACCAGGGAAATCTTACCCCCCCCCCCCCCCCCCCCCGCCTTCCCTTTCGCCCCGGAATAAAGAGGGTGTGGCAGACCAGGGCCCGACCAACCTGTTACTGTTTGTACAGAGTCTACCTGTAGTCAAGAACACTGTTCTAACAGTGTGTCCTCTGCTCTGCACCATGCCTGGCAAACTGAAAAGCAAGGCTTGCATGCCTACTCGAGTCAATGCAGGCCAGGCAAGCGCTGAGTCACAGTCAGGCCTTCCATGTCCACACATTTCAAGTCAAAGGACGTCACATGCCGATACACACTAATGTGACTATTATTCATGGCCAGCACACGCTATTAACTGTACAATGTGCTGTCACAAACCATCTGAATCTCACCGTAGAAAAAACTCTTTGTAGCCAGTATGACTACATGTACGTTTCACAGTTCCATGCACATTTCCGCTTTTCCCCAAATCACTCTTGCATTGCGTGAAATGGTTTATAAACAATAAAGTGGATATAAGAAGGGTGTTCGCTCCCCACACCGGAGCTCGCATTTTTCCACATCCCGTGCAGCAAAACACAGTAAGAAATGTCTCCAATACAATCGATGTCAAAACAAAGCCTGTTGTATGGACGATCATGGACCAGAACCATTGCTGCCTGAAACACATCTGACGACAAGTGGTCAGTTGGAGATCAGTCAACGTCTTTATTTAACTACTTGTACAGCTTGTCACACGGAGTACAATACATAACTATGAGAAGGACTTTATAAAATAAACCATGCTATACTAACCAGCAGTACAGCGAAGCTACCCTTGAAGCTATTATGCCTTCAATGATTAAAAATGGAGCATCAAGTATTAGTTGTCAACATTCTGAGCGGTCAGAAAAAAAAGAAAAAAGAAAAGAAAAAGAGAAGAAATTTCCCTATGAATAAACAGCCTGCTACTTTGATGGACCAGCCAAAAACGCATATACAGTAGTGCAGGAAACCTATGTCGGAAGTAAAGACAAACTAAAAACAAGACAGAGCACCAATGGCATCAGTCATCACCAGCCCTCTCCCTGCGCCCACCGGCCCGTTTCCTCTTCTTGAACATTCCAAAGGATGAAGATGAAGGCGCACTAGTGCCGTCTGCAATGGCCGTTGACAGGGTTTTCTCCTGGAACTTGAAACGATTCTGGTGATCCTCCTCGTCGCGGCATGTGAGGCCAGCTCCGATGCCATCATCGTCATCATCGCCAGTGTTGCTGGCATCTACATGCCTATCTGATGACGCAGTAGTCTGTTGTGACCCAGAGCAGGAGCCTTCTGTTCTAGCAGCAGGAGCAGCAGTAGTTGAACTATCGGCATCGGCATTACTACGTAGCCTGGATGACGTTACAGCACTGACTTTCACAGAACTCCAACTGCCAAAAACACTGTCTCGAGCTGAAGATGGCTTCTTCTTCGAGAATCCTCCACCGCCTGGTTCAGCCTTCGCACATGCTGGCTTGCTATCCTCACTCTTCACCGCAGAAGCATCATCAGCAGCATCAGCAACAGCACTATCATTCAGATCAGTGGTCAACGCACCCGAGGCCGACCAGCCAGAAACTTCCTCTTCTTTCGCAGCAGAGCGCTTTTCACCGACGCTGATATTCTCCGACGACAGTACACTTTTCACACTGGGTACAGCCTGAGCAGAGTCAGCACTGCCAGCATTACTGGTCTCGGTGCCGCTACTATCAGTACTCTTTGGATCCTTGCTGTCGTCGACACGATCAGTTTTACTGTCACTTGTATCAACAGGCTCTTCCGCCGCAGGTACCACCACCGGAGCAGCATTGCTCGTGAAACCAGCGGGTTTCTCCCATGTCGTCTCCCCTGTTGCGGAATTGTAGTAATACACGTAGCCTTCTTCGGTGCTAAACGCACTCCATTGCCTATTTACAGCAGACTCGACGCCGACCTCATCACCGGCCTCAGCGGCGTCCGCATTGTTTCCACTTGCTTCACACTCAACAGAAGCGGACAGCTGACTACTGTCACCGGGGCTACGTGCAGGGCGTATAGAGAAATGCTGGCGAGCTGTGGACGCACCACCGGTGCTTGCCAGCATCGGGTCATTTTGTACATCATTTTTGTAAGCAGCCAGGGCAGCTTTCTCCATTGCGGCCAATTGCCTCTGGATCTCATCTTTTTCATGAATCTCATCCACTCCACGTTTCCTCGCCTCACTAATACGTCGCTGCACATTTTCTTTGTGTTTTTTCCCACCTTCATGCATAGAAATAGACACTTTGTTGTCAGCCATCCATACCTTACAAACGTCGCACATGCGCCGGGGGTTTGATTTCCAATAGTCAGCCATGGCGCACACAGCCGATGAAAACAAACGCGTTTACTTGACCCTCTCAAGCAACCAATACAGCTTACGAAAATGCTATGCCTGCACAATGTAACGCTCTTCGCATGCTACTTTCTCTGTCAGTTTTCGTTCTCTCAACGCTGTGCGCGGTTGGTTACAACGAAATCAAAATCAAAATGAAAAAAAGTAATGACAACATTCAACAGGTGATCACGTGACTTCAGAAGACCATGACGTCATGGCAATCGAGTCGTAATGTTACAACGCCCTCGACCTGTTCAGTCGTATTTTTTGTTGTCGGAGCTTTTATTTGCACACTCTTTTTTATAGTTCTTCACAGAAAGTTTCGTTTTCACAGTTTCGTACCTTGAAGAGACAGGAGACAAAGCAAGCTTTGGACTATTTCTGTATGTACAAACCGGTAATTATTCGACGAACCGTATCTCCAAAGGCGTCTCTAACCTTACTCTGCCTAAGCCTATGAGTATGAGTATAAGGCCTACAAGTAGTAGTAGTGTAGACAGTAACACCATCGTCTCAACACGAGAATCCTGTTCGTGCTAAGAACAGTTTGAACTTTATCCCTCTCTCCAACTCTTGGAGAGTTTGCATAGACGAAATTTTATAGCCTACAGTGCCTACAGTACGTCCATATGGCTGATTCGAGTAAGTCCCTTTCTCTTCCAAGCGAAGAAGACATAGCCTGTGATCTGCAGAGAGCTGAGGACCAAGCCGAGGAAAAACTTCAAAACTGCTTGGAGGACAATGAGAATCATGTGCAGCATGCCTTCCAGAAAGCTGCTGCAACTGTCGGTCGGCTTGTTAATGCCAGCAGTGTTAGTAGTGGTAAGTGAGTCGCCTAGTATGTTGTGCTGCAGTTGCCAGACTGTTGCTGTGTAATGGTGTTCAGACTTGCAAGTGTCGGCCAGGGGCGTAGCTTGCGCATCTGTGGTGTGGTGACCATGTATCATCATCAGACTGTACATCTGTGGTGTAGTGACTACGTACCACTGGCAACCTCATAGCCGCCATTTTGCCTATTTTGCAGTATCTATGAGTCTGACGGCCATTTGCTGGTGTGGTGACTGGACTATGCTGACTATACATGAGCTACACGCCTGTTACCCTGGTTACAAGTGCCACATCAGTCCGAGTGAAACTGCTGAGACTGTGAGAGTCTACCATGGCAGACGTACATGTAGGCCATGTAGGAATCCGTCTAACTGCATTCAAATTATACTGTTCTGTGTATGTTCGCTGCATGCGCGTGTGTGTGTGCGTGTGTGTGTGTGTGTATGTGTGTGTGTGTGGCAACCTACAGGAAGAGATCCTGCTATGGCTGTCCTTGCATTCCAGGAGGCGGCAACAGCTGTGACACGCTTGTATAAAAGTGAGCGTTTTGACTTGAGTAGGACTTGTTGGCTCTTGTCTCTGGACAGGAAAAATCACGTGCTCAAAGTACTGGATAGCGAGTACTTGTAGTCGGTCGGGTAGTCGGGTAGCCGTGCTACCCGTGGGGACCTCGGGTAGACGGGTACAGAATAGTACCCGAAAACCCGAAGTTGCAGATGACATCATGTACAGTGCACGTCTACAAATTCATGTAATACTCCGCATGTCTACCCAATGTGTAAGGGAAAGGTGCATTGTGGTGTTACCATGGAAACATTGCCCGATAGGGTACCCATGCTACCCGTGAAAAACTACCCGAACCCGATACCCGAAGAAAAATGCTACCCGACTCCCCTATCCCCCCCCCCCCCCCCGACTCTACCCTCTTTTACTTGCACGGATTGATTTCAAACTTTACGCTATGCGTAGTGTACTCACTCACCGCAAAAGGGATTGACTGGAACTTGTCGACTGATCTGCGGACAGACTTGAAGAATTCCAACAAGTCTTCAGGAATAAATACCTGAGAATAATGCTCTGGTTTGTGTTGTTGGTGCGCTTCCTGCTTTTGCTCATTGCGATCATTTTGTCAACTTTTTGTAGACAATTTTTGTAACCATCTTATATCTGCGTTTGTTTGGTGTGTGTATTGGCAGTTGCACTGACCAGTCAGCGGGATGTGGCGGATGTGGCAAGACGATGTGGTCGCTGTCAGCGCAGCAGGGAAATCTACGATTCGTGCCGCAGGACCAACCCCAACAAGCCGTTCTTACGGCGTGACGATGTCCTGAGCATTACTGCTGGCCGCCGCAGTCCTTGCGGCCGCACGCGCAGAACCTCTCTAGTCTCGGCTGCACAATCCTCGTTGTCATCGTCACCGCCAGCGTCCACATCCTTTCCGTTTTCAGATTCTGCTCGGCGGGCGGTTGCAGCAGCCCACTGGCCACAGTTTCCACCTCCAGCGTCTCCAGTCCAGGAAGGTGCGTCTTCAGTATCGGCTTCCAGATCGGCTTCCACCTGTGTTCGTACGGATGACCATCCGAAGACGACCCAATGTCCGTCGGCAGCTCGTGATAGTGCTCAATGCAGTTCACCACGTGCCACCTCCGGAACCACTGCATCTTGTCAGCCGCATCGTCAATCCCTTTGGTGGCATAATACGTTGCCCGAAGGCCTACCTGTACTGGATAACCTGTTCATTACATCGTGTAAGCGCCTCCGCATGGATATTGGCGATGCAGAGGACGAAGAGTTCGACGAAGAGGAGCCGTTCAAACGGAGATTCCTTTGAACTGTACGTGCACACACTCCTGTACGTTGTGTGTATTCGCGCGCGCGCGCACGCTCGTGTGTGTGTGTGTGTGTGTGTATAAGTGTGTGTGTGTGTGTGTGTGTGTGTGTGTATAAGTGTGTGTATACGTGTGTGTATATGTGTGTGCATGTGCAGGCACACTTTTGATTGTGTTTAAAAGATACTGAATGAGCCCGCCTGTCCATGCTGTGGTGTCTGATTCAGGCGGTGTGTAGACACTGGCAGCTGCCGTAGCTACGACCGTGTAGACGTAGTCCTGCGTACTCCTTCCTGTGACTTTTCTTATTTTTCCCATGTCTCTAACACTCATCTCACGGAGTTACATAACCTGTGACACGCTGGTTTCACTTGAAAGAATGTTCTTGTTCTGGTTTGATCTTTTTTCCCCGTCGTGATCTGCCTCCCGTTTCCCAAATCCACATTCCTCTTTGTAACGTTGCTTTGAAGTACGTCTACTGTATTCTCCATCCAGGACAAGTCGATTCACTGGCTCTCTTCAGAGCCGACCTTTCCTATTTTAAGTTATCTCATTCATTTCTAAGGTGAAATTATGAGCTTGAGTATGTAGCGAGTCGGAATGGTCATTGGCTTCCTGCTCACTGACAGTGGGGAGAAATCAAGTGTGTGTGTATGGGAGTGGGTGGATGTGAAACTAGTCGCCCCAGAAGATGTACTATCTTACGTTGTACAGCACATACCGTAGTGTATTTTAAAGCCTGTTTTCGATAGAAGCCTGATTTTCAAGATTCACCATTGTACGCTGTCGGCACATAAGGCTGGCTTTAGTGCTGACATGCATAGAAATACCTGTCTTATATAGAAGCCTGCACAATTTCCCCAAGCAAGTCATAATTATATAAAAGCCGCGGCTTTTATATAATTCTATCTAGAGTGTAATTATTGTAAGCTGATTTACTCTTGATACAATGAACATGCAGTGCTGTGGCCAGGGTGACTTACTGCGGCGCTGCCCCCTTCTCCCTCCCTGAAGGCTTGGCGATCGCCTTTCGAATCGAAAGTGCCACTGCCCAATGCCAGTTTCGACTTATCAACTCCCGTACAGGATGCATTGCGTGCATGTATTTTCTACTCTCTAGACTAGACTTGCGCAGGTTTTTGAAGAGTTGCTACCATGCAAGAGAAATAATTACATGCCTTGCACATACGTATCACTTATCGGACTGTCCCCATGAAATGTTCAAGGCAAAAGATCGCAAATTCTGTGCAGAATTCTGCGGCAATTCTGAAAGAGAACCGGCGGTGTGCACGCCAACAATCAGAACCGAAGATTTGTTAAAAATTAAAGGAAAAACAAAGTTCCGAGGTTAGAACCTCCACAACCACACCAAAAGTTGTTTGTCCCCATGTACATGTACTATAATATACGGTAGTATTCCATGCTGACTTAGAAATTCTGGGCCACATAAGAAAACTCCAAAACATACATGGCATTGTATTTCAAGTTGACTTTCAAAGTCATCAGTGGCCAGGTTTGTCGGGCTGCGGAGTACAGTAAAACCTGTCAAGGCAACCACTTGGATAAGGCGACCACCTTTCCCAAAGACCAAGCAAGGGATGCTATTTCCAGTCCAATGACCCTGGATAAGGAGGCCACCTGGTAACAGAGACCACACTTTGAAGGTCCCTTGAACAGTCGTCTTTTATGGGGTATTCACACGACAGGCAAATCCACGTGCACCGGAAAGTTGCTATGGTATTTTACCTGTGAACGAGAAAAGTGGCTGAAAAGTGAAAGTGAGCTGGGGCCCACTTTCACCATAATCGTGGCGTGCACGAGTACATTTACACCAAAAAGCGCGAAACAAGACTTGATATTTTTACGCAGCTCTTTCGAGCATGATAATTATCGTATGTGTGTTTTGAAAATTTGAAATACCCATGGCTACTGGTCGGTGAAGCATTCAAAAATGCAAACGTGCCTGTCGTCGAGTGCAGCTGTGTGAATCCACACAGTCACTTTTCTCGTACGTCACTCCCTGTAAAACGTGCAAGTGCCTGTCGTGTGAATACCCCATTAACTGTACATCGCAAATGCACAGAAAAAGCTGTTATTCTCACTCAACAGGATTTCCGAATGCTGGTAAAATTGCCAAGTTCTCCAGAAATTCTGCAATCTGCAGAATCGCGGGACAGATTAGGTGATACAATGTGCTCATAGAGACTATTATCATAACTACGCATAATACTTAAAATAGAAGCCAACCAGCAGCTTCATGTTCGGTTATTTATCAAGGAAAATCTGTGTACTGCATGCATCTAAAATCTTGCAGACGAAAGCCTCTAACGGTGAGGAATTCCGCAAGTTAGCCAGTGCTTACACTATATTTGTGGCAACATCCATGAATGCACACAAACTCCACCTTCAAGCGGTGCTATGATCATATGATGCATGGGAGTGAAGAAGTGATGGTGTAGCAGAGGATACTACAACTAGGAGCAGGCTGATCAAAGAGTCAAAGAGTCTTTCTATTTACTTGTAAGTTTAACAGCATGCCACCGGGATCAAGGTGATGGTAAAGTCTTTCTGTGAATGTCGTTACAGAATGTATCTGTGTACTTCAAGTGGGCAAATGGATGGATGTGAGAGGGGGGGGGGGGGGTGATTGGGAGAGCGCTGACTTTTGTTTCATTTGTATCATTGCTCCTTATGATCACAAGGCATGGACCAGAAGGATCTGCAAATGGTGCTCATATACCGGCGAAGTAGCACAGACAAACTGCGGGGAAACTTCAAAATCCATCGTACTCCGGGGGATCCCTTGTCTGCGTTTCTTTCCTCCACATTAGAGGACGACTCTCTCCACCAGTGTAGAGCTTCTTCTTGCGATAGTAGTGCCAAATCAGGAGTGTAATAATGATGATGTTAGCCAGTAAAGTAGCGGCGATAATACAAATCAGCCCTCCACTCATGGTGCAGCCATTTTCGCTGGTGTTCAAATTGTACATGGCAGGGCAATACTGTGGCTCCTCGCTGCCTTTAGGACAGTATGCATCGTTGGGACATGGCCTTGGTGGGTTCTCGGCAGTAGGGCAATAGTACCCAACACCACACTCTATACAGTCGGGCCTGCCCATCTCTGTCGCGTAAAAGCCTTTCGGGCACCGGTGGCACACACTTCCTGCAAGTTGGTCTTGGTAATGGCCGAGCGGGCATGGGGCACACGCGTGCGAGGCAGGCCGATGTGCAAACTGACCTGGTTGACAGGGCTCGCAGATTGCACACGACGTGAAGTTGCATGCAAAGCCGGGATCACACGGCCGACAGTACTTCAGATATCCTGGGTTGTGCGAGCCAGCCTGGCACGGCTGACACCAGGAACGATTCGCGTACGCCTCCTGGCCGATGTAGCACATCTTGCAGTCGCCGCATGCAGTGTGATTGCACATGGTGTTTGGAGGGCAGGGCGAACAGGACTCCTTGCCTTTTCGTGTCTGGTTGGTGCCAATAGTGCACAGGTCACACTCCGTGTGCGCCTCATTATCCTTTGCCGAATACTGACCAGCTTCGCATTGTTGGCAGCTGCTCTGGTTACAGGTGGCCGAGAAATTCCCGCCGTGGCAAACTAGGCAAAACTGCTGCCCTGGGCTGGACTGGAAGCAACCGGCTGGGCACGGCTCGCAGACAAACGATGCGTTGGTGCCGATGTCGGCAAGTGACACGCTAGCGTTCGCCACTGACCTGCACCATTCTCCCGGTAAGCAGTGCGTGCAGGCGGTAACATCACGGCCACTGTCCGTACAGCTCACCGAATCCCAATCACTGTGATCGCACTGGCCAGGGATCTCGGGTACACTCCGTCCAAACCCATCTGCAGCCACAGAAAGAGGAAACAACACGACTCTCGGTGACTGTGAATGACAACACTGACTCATCCAGTTCATCTACATGTAGTACGTGTAGGAAGGCAGTCATGTTGCACCATGTACCACTGCCAGTGGCACATGTTATACTTCCTACTTCGTAGCTACTATTAGCTGTAAACCCGGAAACCTTTGCCATCTGGAATCCTTCGCGGTTTTCGTTATGGGTTTGAGGTTGCAAAAGTAAGCTGGTGAGAAACGTAGAGCTGCAGTAAAGAAACTGGGGAAATTGACTCTAATCGCAAACATCTCCAGGTGAAAATTGCCTGTGCTCGCAAATCGCGAACTAAAATCGGTGCAAACGTTTCTGGGTTTATAGTATCTAGATCCAGTCATTATCATTATCATTATTATAAATATGGATGCAAAAGCATACATAGATGAGTTGACCGCTTGTCTATTCTGCCAGGAAAATGAAAACCGCAGCCCTCTGGCAGGTTGACCGACTCAGTAAAGAAGGATCATCCAAACTGCACCTGACTTCTTTGCTCTCAGACTGATCACAACATACATCACACACAGCGTGCGGGTACGGAACACGGTTGGCAGGACCCAGTTTTATCGCTCTTCTATACTGCCTTGCAGTATAATTCTTGTGATCCTTGAGATCTTGAGTTATCCTATACTCCCCATATACAATGAAGGTTAGATAATAGCCTTGCCCACAAATGACAAATTGAGTTCAGCAACAAAACTCTGTTGCCCAAGTCGTTTAGCAAGTCCTTTTCGTACATGTTAGATCGGGTATAGTGACCGCAAATTACCGACAGATCGGATTTACTGACACCGGCATTTCGGTGCCTGAAGACCTGAAAGTGTGCAGTGAGATGCCGAGTTTGAGTACTCTTTATTTCCTAAATCGCATACAAAAAGCCAGACGCTCCGATTAAACATATTAGTGGCCATTCAACTAGAGTATGATGATTGTATATCGATTAGTGAGCCATTTGGTTCTCTCTACTCCTGTGCCAATGTTCACTACCCAGTCTGCACATCAGTATCTCTGACTAGGTTTTGCTCTGAAACTGCCGATTGTACAAAAACACGTACAATCAAGAGTTCATAACCCCGGGGGTAGGCCCCGGTGGATAATGCTAGCATTATATCGAGCATAATTAACACTTTCTGGAGACTAGCACTGCGCCAGCATAATCTGGCAAGTGTTGCCGAAAACTAGCATATTCTAGCGACAACTAGCATATTATTGCAAAACATGGGATTTTCGTGAGAATTCACAATGCCCTCGCGACTAGTACTACCGCGCCTTTGCCTGCTGAGTAATAATATAATTCTGTGCTTCTTGCATTTTTCTGTTTCGTAGAACATTACTTATGCTGCAAAATACATGTATGCTGTTATCAATCTGCAACATTAGTAATCTATGCCACTATTTCCATTTTTCCGAAGCAGAATTCAAGCATTATCAGTGCTACTTTGGAGCCGCTGAGAATGCGAGCATAGTGAAAAGCAGAACCCATCAAATTCTCAAGCATTATCCGCCGGGGCCTACCCGAAGCGGGTTATGAACTCTTGGTACAATGCATGAAAGAGTATCCGCTGGAGTATAACTAAGAGTATGCAACTATATTTCTCTTTCTTATGAGCCAGCCACGCCATACACGCCCTATGAGTTCATCATATAGCTACATCGGTACACTGTGGAAAGTCAAACACCGCTCTTTCTCTGTGGTTTGCAACCAACTTTCATATGCGGAACTGTAGTTCAGTATGCCTCCAAAATTAACGTTAAAAAGGTCACATCAGCACTCAAACGAATCAGGCAAAACGGCTTCCGCAGGCCACCAATATGCCTTTTCACCTTAGTGGCGAATGCAGACCTCACAAGTGAGTCAGGGGAGAGGAGGTGAGTCTCTCATTCTCAACCAATCGGGCGTGTAACAGCCCATAACCCTGCAAACTGCATCCTTGTTATCCTCACTCCGAGCTGTGAGTGCCCAGTTGACCTTGCGTGTCGGCGCAGTTCACCACGCGTAAACAGTCTTTTTACATGCTCCCGGCTACCAGCGCTGTCTCGAACTCGGGACCTCATGATTCGCAGGCAGGACTGCAACCCAATCGGCCATATGTCTATCTGGCATATGGCGTCACTATTTCCACTAAATTGGTAAACATGTAGAAATATTTCCACTAAAATTCGCCCACAGGGTGCCCGGTAGACCGAGGTGCCCGTACCTTCAAGGTCCGGACAAGAGAGATATGAGTGTGTACAGACAGTACAGAGTTTTACGGCAGTCATGGTAGTCCCTCTAGCCCTATGATCTATTCATTCACTAAGTATTGGGCAGTAAGGTTCTAGAGATAGAGTGTCAGAGTCTGTCAGTGCTACTACATGCAGTACTGCAGTCTACAAGACTTAGTAGTTAGTTGTACAGCAGTATCATTTTCATTTGCTTGTACAGCCTCCCCTCAGCACACTTCAGCAGTGTCGCTGTCAGCAATCTTGTCCTCTTCGCCTAACCACCGAATGAAGAACAGTCAGGGGTTCGGATCGCGGACAACTCCCACAAATCGTACACAAACTGAAGCTCTTACCAAGTCTCATAGCCGAACACAGTGAGCTGCTCATGTGCAGGCTGGCAGCAAGAACAATCCAAAGTCGAGCAGAATCAAACGGTGTCCATCTTGTTCGCCGGCGACCTGTGGAGCGAGCCGTCTGCGGCTGATCTGGCGTTATCTGATTGAATCGTGTGCTGCGCGCATCGCAAGTGCATGCCATTCTTGATATCCTTGGCGAACGGCAGCGCAGGCTAAACTCTGGACTTCTCTCAACTAACTTTGGCGACGTTTGCACACAGATTATTTCACAGTTTCAGGCCAGATCGCGCGCTCGAATTCGCACGTACGTAAGCTGGCACAAGCAGGCTTCACACCGCGTACCGACCGTACCACTGCACTGCATGCATACAGTGGATCTATTTCAGGTGAATGGACCGCACGTGGTCCTCCTTCCTTCCTTTGCTTGCGAGCTAGCTAGCAGCACTCCAGCAGCATGTAATGCGACAAGGATGAACTACTGCACTGGTTCAGCGTGCAGGAGAAGGAAGCCCATTCGGCTGTTGAAAGCCACAGCACGACGTAAAAGGGCAAAGGACTCGGCAGATCGAAGCTCAGGCAATAAATACAAGTAAAGTTTAGGAATCAGAGATGCATGCAGTCCGGTCTACCCAGACAGATTCAGTACCACGCTGCGATTGGCGCAGCAACCAACGTGCACTGGACTTGGTCTTGACTCTTGGAGCCCTGGACGGGTGTACAGGCGCAGCAACTCATTCCGAGTCCAGCTGTACCGAGTCCGAATGACGTCGTAGCTGCTGTTCGTCACCTGCTGGTCGGAGCAAGGCTGGATTCCCTACCCTAGCCCGACGCTAGCGCCTCGTCTCGTGACACCAGCTGTCTTGCTCTATCAGCCTATGACACATGTCCCTGACAAGACAATCGTGAATGTAAAACTAAGAAATCCCGTCTCAGTGCATGTCTGGTGTAGATCTGACAATAATATGTCCAACCCCCCCCCCCCCCCCCTCCTCTCTCTCGTATCCCGTCCGGATACTAAGAAATCCCGTCTCAGTGCATGTCTGGTGTAGATCTGACAATAATATGTCCAACCCCCTCCTCTCTCTCGTATCCCGTCCGGATTGCTGACTGTCACTGATCTCCACTCCACAGCACTTGTGTACATCACCATGGTCACTGGTGCCGGCAAACCTTAGCCTGTAGGTATTGGCACCCCGTCATCAACATCATCATTATCATCATATTTGTTGTCGTTGTCGTTGTTGTTGTTGTTGTTGTTGTTGTTGTTGTTGTTGTTGTTGTTGTTGTTGTTGTTGTTGTTGTTGTTGTTGTTGTTGTTGTTGTTGTTGTTGTTGTTGTTGTTGTTGTTGTTGTTGTTGTTGTTGTTGTTGTTGTTGTTGTTGTTGTTGTTGTTGTTGTTGTTGTTGTTGTTGTTGTTGTTGTTGTTGTTGTTGTTGTTGTTGTTGTTGTTGTTGTTGTTGTTGTTGTTGTTGTTGTTGTTGTTGTTGTTGTTGTTGTTGTTGTTGTTGTTGTTGTTGTTGTTGTTGTTGTTGTTGTTGTTGTTGTTGTTGTTGTTGTTGTTGTTGTTGTTGTTGTTGTTGTTGTTGTTGTTGTTGTTGTTGTTGTTGTTGTTGTTGTTGTTGTTGTTGTTGTTGTTGTTGTTGTTGTTGTTGTTGTTGTTGTTGTTGTTGTTGTTGTTGTTGTTGTTGTTGTTGTTGTTGTTGTTGTTGTTGTTGTTGTTGTTGTTGTTGTTGTTGTTGTTGTTGTTGTTGTTGTTGTTGTTGTTGTTGTTGTTGTTGTCGCTCAACACCTTAAATACTGGAGCTTACTTGCTGTATGCTAGGGCTTGGCGTTGTTGACCAAGCTAGTAGAGAGGGAGAGAGAGAGAGAGAGAGAGAGAGAGAGAGAGAGAGAGAGAGAGAGAGAGAGAGAGAGAGAGAGAGAGGGAGGGAGGGAGGGAGGGAGGGAGGGAGGGAGGGAGGGAGGGAGGGAGGAAGGAGGGAGGGAGGGAGAGAGAGAGAGAGAGACTCAGAGAGAGAGGAGAGAGAGAGAGAGAGAGAGAGAGAGAGAGAGAGAGAGAGAGAGAGAGAGAGAGAGAGAGAGAGAGAGAGACTGCACTGGTACACCTTTGATGTGCAATCATTGATTTACATGCTTGTTCTTTTCTTTTCTGTCTTACTTTCTTTCCTTGTGTTTCTTATTATTTATTTTTAAATCCAACATTTCACACTCACTTTGCGCACTTTCTCTCGCATCCTTAACTATGCTACTAGTACATACACAAATAGGAGATCCCCCAGATAGGCGTTAGCCTTTGGGTAATCCTGAAATAAAGATTATTATTATTATTATTATGAGATAGATAGATAGATAGATAGAGAGAGAGAGAGAGAGAGAGAGAGAGAGAGAGAGAGAGAGAGAGAGAGAGAGAGAGAGAGAGAGAGAGAGAGAGAGAGAGAGGGAGAGAGAGAGAGAGAGAGAGAGAGAGAGAGAGAGAGAGAGAGAGAGAGAGAGAGAGAGAGAGAGAGAGAGAGAGAGAGAGAGAGAGAGAGAGAGAGAGAGAGAGAGAGAGAGAGAGAGAGAGAGAGAGAGAGAGAGAGAGAGAGAGAGAGAGAGAGAGAGAGAGAGAGAGAGAGATAGTACTACTACTACTAGTACTAATACATTGTACATATACATGTAGTCTCAAGGTTTGGAGACTCCACTGTAGCCAATACTTGAATCCATACATCCTGTACACACACCTTGTCCGCTAGAGAGAGTGTGTACAAGGTGTGTGTACAGGATGTATGGATATACATGTAGTAGCAAGAGTATAGTTATTGAACCACCCCCATTGAAAGGTTTCACCAGTTGCACACGCTTGGGCATAATTATACATGACTTGGACTCTTGGTATGGTAGTACTTCAGTAGTACTACTAGTACGAGGCTATCCGTCGGCTCGCCACAACGAGCTTCGGGACCTCCTGGCGGGAGTACTGCGGGACTCTCCTGGAGGTACTGCCCGATGTGGAGATTGAGCCACGTTTGCTACCACTACACGGTGAGGCCATCTCTGCCGCCTCCGCTAATCGTCAGCCAGAGGCACGCCTGGACATACGGGCTAGGGGTTTCTGGTCGCGGCAGCAGGACACCTTTTTTGATGTAAGGGTCACTGACCTTGGGCCGTCCTTGCTGTCTCGTCCGGAAATCCTTAGCCACCTGAGAACACATGAGAGAATGAAGAAGGCGGCGTATGGTGCCAGAGACTAGAGTCAACCAGGTGGAGAGAGCATCATTCACCCCACTGGTGTTTTCGACCTCGGGTGTGGCGGGCAAGGAAACTACTATATTTCTGAAGTCGCTAGTTGCTCTCGTTATAGACAAAAACAAAGACTTGGTATATTCTGCCGTGATGGGTGAGTTACGCACCCGGGTTTCATTTTGCCTGCTGCGATGGGCAGTAACGTGCTTTAAGGTAGCAGTACTGGAAAACGGGTGTCAGATTTAGCCAAAATATCAATTTCACGGGAACTGCTTCAAGTGTGATTTTTCTGAAAGAAGGAATACCAAAGGCTCTACAAATGAAATTTTTTGGCATTCGAACCAGCCAAAGCAGAGATATGGCCCTTCAAAAACTGAAAATACCCGTCAAAATTTCAAAATTGCACTGATCAGCTGATCGATGTCAATCTATTTCGAGAGGGTTTCTGTACAATATCAGCGCATCCTTGCCAATCTCGGCCTGATTCACACTATCTGTCCAGCTAAAACCAGTTTAGAGCTGGGCTGAGTGTCGCGATCGCCACATGCAGCGCCTACCTGGCCCAAGCTAGCTGGCCTGGCTGCGCTGGCCTGCACTCAACCCACGCAATTGTATTTTCAAAAATGATAACAAAATTCTTTGTTCTCAAACTGTTTGCCAATGCGACGAGCGTTTGTCATCGACGTTGGAGCTCTGCGCTTGAGTTGTTGTGCTGGCGCTACTTGGTCAGGAGACGGGTGATGAACACAAACGAAGGTCGCTCAGCAGGCCAAGGAAAAGCAAATTTCCTAGAGTTACGTCCAAGCTCGTTTCAAGTCCTGAAGTATTTGAGCCAATTGAGGGGAGTGAAAGCGAACACGAGTCGCAGGCTGATGGAGCTGGTGAGGGCGTAGAAGATGACTCTGATATTCCAGCTGATTTTTTATCCAGTGATGCCTCGTGTGATAACGATGGAGATTAGTCTGAAGAGGATTGCGATGATATTCCATCAGGAATTCGAATTGTTCACATGGAGAGCTTACAGCAATTGGTGACGTCAGCGTGTGTATGTAGTAATTATCAAGAGGGCAACCTGACTATCAAAGATAATTTTCGTCATGGCCTCGCCTCAACAATTAGTTTGCAGTGCGAATCGTGCTGCTCATCAACCAGTGTAGCCCTGGCAGAAAGACACCCACTTGCTAAATTGTACGATATAAACCGCCGCCGCAGTGTGCTTGCCATGCGCCTTATTGGTAGTGGACGAGAAGGTCTGAACAGTATCTGTGGGATATTGGATATGCCGCCTCCTATTAGGAAGTCCAATTCTGGGCACAGCGATGCACTACACACTGCTGTGGAAACTGATGCTAGGGACAGCATGAAGAGTGCTGCACAGCGTCTTCTTGTTCGGCGAACAACAGAACAGCATTCCCACCCGGAGCATGTTGCAGTTAGCACCGATGGAACGTGGATGAAGCGCGGATTCTCATCAATGTTTGGTATGCCAACTGTTGTGTCCTATGAGACAGAAAAGGTTCTGGACGCGGAGGTGCTATCAAAACACTGCAGTGGATGTGAAACTGGAAGAACAGATGGCAAGCAAGAAAGATTTCTAATGCTGAGTACGAACAATGGAAATGTTTTCGGCTGTGCTGGAAGTGATGAGCTGCTCTAAGGGTTCACTTGCCAGCTCTGGTCTTCTCAAGTTGGATGAAGAGAAGCAGTATCACAGGAGGAGAAGGTCCAGTGAGGAGCAAAAGTCAGCCAGGAAGAGAAGAAGAGCCATTCGAATGGGATTTGCTGACACGATACAGCAAGCAGAGGTAGTCACATACATTGCTGGAGGGTTCTCAGAGTGCCAAAAGTTAGTGTTTTTGGGCCTTCCGGCCAAACTTTGGTACACTATATCTCCAGACTGGCTCATCACAGCCCAATAAACCTTATATGTAGATTGATCAGTGGAAAATTTCCCAGATGCTGAATATATTTATAAAGCCATAGTTTTTTGTTTGGCGGATGTTAGCTGCCTCAGTAGTAATAATCTTTTTCGACGGTGACGGGCGTCTTCACAGATGATGTTGACTGGGTGGTGCTATTTGTGTCCTATCTCCAATCTGTTCTATTCAGCATCTGCTACTGTTGTAGACTGTCCCTTGTGATGCATTTTTAACACTTCAGCTGATATTATGTTGCTGCTAGCATGTACCAAAAATCTGAGATGACGGCATTTGTTTACTCTCCAGTGCAGTGAACCTTTGGGACGATGCGAAGTAAATAAGTTCAAGGTAGTACTTTTATTAGGTGGTGGCGTGAATCATGAATCTGTGCTCAAAATTTTGTGGGAAAAGATTCACAGACACCGAAGTAATACCCGATTTTA